ACGGCAAGAGCGGAGAAGTGCCGTACAAACTCTTGTATGAAGCGTGCAAAATTAAGCAAAGAATTCAGGCGAAAATTCAGTTTTAAGTGATTAAACTGGAAAATCTGAAACACCTACGAACCTAAATTATTGGATTTTAAGGAAAATTGGGAGGTAAAGCATATTTCTGGACAGATGGTACCGACCGTTGTTTTGGAGGATCTATAGCGTTTTTTTCGCAGTCCCTAAACATGCTAAACAAAACGAGTTTGTTGATCTGAAGGGGAATACCTGATTTGTTTTTATTTATGACTTCCCTCTTTAATTTTTTTGGCATACCTTCGCAAACAAACAGCCGTATATTTAAAGCCGATATTTTTGACGAGGTGTATCAAGTGATCACCTTGCAAGGCATCGGTCATGAAACAAGGAGGAATATAGCAAGTACCAAAGAAATAAAATTTAACAAAAAATGTATAAATTTTACAGAAAAGCGACAATATTGAAGAACCTCATGGTAAGGATAGGCCTAATCGTCAACAAACCGGTGAAGTAAAATTGATCCACCCCCACTTATATCCGTAGAAGTACTGGCGGGAGCCGTTTACTTCCAACCCTATTATAAGACTGTCTTTTCTTATCAGTCTGTCAATTCTTAGACCAAAAAGAAACGCACGACATAACAATCCTAATAGCGAGATGCAATAGAACGCCATACACTGTGAGTCACTTCTTGCCGTGCAATGCGGAAATTGATAGGCCTCACTGCCTCCCTACAGAGTTATCCCTCTAGCGTATTCTATACACCTCATTGGGCGAGTCTCAGTCCAGGAGAGCTTAACTAGGAGCACGAGTAGGTAGAACGCCTACGCAAAAGGTCCCGGATGACAGCCTCGGTCTACGAGCCCGACCCATACGTGCGAGGCTAGAGGCGCATGACGAGGGGGATTAACTCTGTTTAAACGGGGGTCTAAACAACATATATATGATAGCCTGTGCTCCAGACTCTACTTTCAAGTTAGGGGTCTGGAACACAGGCTAATATATGACTCTAAAGTGATTACCACTGATCAGTGGTGATTATAGTTTCCACTTAAACTAAAGCGGTCGAATCGATCGACGTCGAATTCGATCGATAATCCGGGTCGACAGACCCGTTTCCACTTGCCTGTCGACCGCTCTCGTTCTCGGAAACGAGAGCAAAGAGTTAATTTCATTAATTGACTGGGAAATTGATAAAAATTATCTATGCAAACTGTTCATAATAAAGCTAAAGCTACGACTGTATTTAGAGTATTTGAAATGAAAATGGATATACAATTGATACGAGCAGAATTGCACACTCGATACGAAACACTACAGGGTATTGAATTGAATGGGTAAATACACTCCCCTCCCAAAAGTATTCGAACGGAAGCCTTGTAGTAGTACATATTGGCTTGTTTTAGTTTCTCCATTGCCTGAATCCGATTGGTTGGCAGGCCTATAGCATCGCAGTCATGGAAATCAAATTCCGCTGAGTCATGATTTCCATGACTGCGATGATATTGGTTGACCTTGAACTGGTCACATGAACTCACCTCGTACTGATTAACATAACAGTTTCCATCAATAGCAAGTTGTCAACAACGGATGCCAATATCACATGAAACAGCAGCGATCACGCCGAAACCAAATGACCCCCTATAGAGAAGGCCTATTTATCATGACTCAATGCCTTTAATGATCCAATACGTAACTATTGATGATTATTACCGTAGCATCAGTGATAATCTCCATGAAAATATCCTTTCTCTGCTTTACGAATGCGTGGTTACTGACAAAATACCCACTTAGAGTTCAAAGCTACTGATGCTGCAAATGCTAGAAAACTCTGGGAGAAAAGAGGAAGAATCCTTGGCTATGTGTCTTATTGTACAGCTGGTCATTGTATAAAAATTGATTTTCAGTCATCTCCAGTGGCGTAGTACTATCAAAATAACAAGGCGCTCTTGCACTTAATGTTGCTAAAAACAATAGCAAAAGTAGAAATTATTTTAATTTGCTATTAACAAGCCCTAGCACTGCACCCCTGGTCATCTCACAATTTCTTTGAAGTAATTTTCAATAAGGTATAATGATGATTAAATGAAATTTAATCAGAGTTAATTTCACGAGGGGCTTTTGAGCGTTAACTAAATTGCTTGAGATTATTGTTATAAATTTTTCGTTATGTTTTCTTGTGCCACGCTTCCTCGCGTTTTCCTTGTATCTGCTCTACTAGTTTACAGGCAATGCGGTGAGTCTTTCGGCCTCCCGAGAATTTGATTTGTAAAGCTAGGGTAAGATGTGTGTTTCGTGGCGTTTTTATTCCCTTTATTAATCTAGGGGTATTTAAGGTTTTGGCATAGCGTGGGTCTCATCTTGCTTGGTGAAGCCACAATACAACTAGGCTGTTTTATTGTACTTTCCCAGCCCTCCCTCCCTCATTTTGTTTCTTTACGCAAAATGCCTTTTTAGTATAGCTTTGCGTGTTGTTTTTTATGGCTTCGTTAAAACCTCTCGTACCTTTAGGCATCTTTAATGCTTTTTAGCGTTTTCTGATGCTATTAATTAGGTAGGACTGGTGCATCGGCTATTAATGGCGAAAAGATGCTTTTCCTGTCCATTCCCTCTCAATTACCAATCATATTTGGGGGGCTATTGTGTAACTTCCCTTAGTAAACCCTTTATGGTAGGTTGAGCGATTTACACCGATGCACCAACGTCCCAACTCGCTCTCGATGATGTGGGAACGTAGCTTCATGACTGACCTCCTGATGTCTATGGCAGTTTTTATGAGGGAGCTTTATGCCCTTTATATTGCATCGGTATTTCATTCCCGAGTTAGTAAATTAATTGTGTATTGGATAAGGCAAAACAACGAATGGCCCAGCGTATAATCGCTCGTTGTTTGTTTGTGACAAATCGCTACAAGATGTTTGCCCTTGCAATTGAATTTGGTAATGAATCTATTCAATCGAATAATAAATTTTTCAGGTCAAAACTGAATACAAATGATGCGATTACACTTACGCTGATTGGTTCAAAGTTAAAATGTTCTAAGTAGAGGCCAGTAGGCTTGGCACTTAGTATTGTTTATTGAAGTCAGCATCTCGTGTAAGTCCTAGACCAATGGGGACTGGGCCCTAGTGACTGTAAAACTGGGGGGAGTCTCTACACTACCAACGTATTAGAGAAAACTGTGTTAGGGCAAATGGTGATCATTTGGAATAAAATATCATTAAAGTTGAATGAATTTCGGTTCTAATTATTCCTTATGTGACTATAACTTCTTAGGAGAAACATTCAAAATCGACGAGAAAAGATAACGTACTGATGCATCACATGAAATAACTTTCAAGTTTGAGACATACCTAGATGTCATTCCAGATCTCATAATTAGAAGTCTTTTCTGCCAGCCTAGGCTCAGCTCTCACAACTTACATATTTTTGGCCGTACAGAACTTTGGCGAAAGAACACGATGAGAAATTGATGCCCAGTTGTGGATCGAAATAGGCCAATCAGAAGAACGCAAGCACAATGCCGGTGTAGTTGTGCAATCAGTGCCGCGTGCCTAAAAAAAATTACCACTGGAGTCCAAGAGAGAAAACGAACTCCTTCTGTCTACACAATAGCGTTTGTATGTAGATCGATTCAAAAAAACTGCTAGATGGAAAGATGACCGGGCTCTGATAATCGAAACATGTCGTCATAATAAAGTTTTGCACAATCTAGACCTACAAGATCGAGGAGGCTGTTCTCTTTGAGGGGCGGTTTTGTTTCTTTTGTTGGAAGGAACATGTTGTTTTACCCTATCCCACAATCTTTGGTTTTGCGTCCTACGTAGCCAGAATCACACTGGCACGTAAATTCATAAACAACGGAACTCTTTTGGGTGGTAGGAACGCAATCCTTTTGAATGGATGGAAGAGCTCTCCTAGTGCTGTAAACAATCCGAGGATTGACAGCAAAGAAACATTTCGTGGTGGCTTGTTTCATCGGGCTCTCGAATCGCAAGGAAGTGTTACCAATCCATGATAGTTGAAGATATACTGGGCACTTTTGCGGACAAAACATTTGAACAGCCGAAATACTTGCAATCCTCTCTTTAGTATAAGACAAAATGACATCTTCTAGATAGCCGTTGTCCAGAAAGATATATATTTCCCTTCGTGTTCTTTCGGACCCTTATTCTGACATTTTATGCTCCGAGGAGTGTCAGACGAAAAAGCTTTTAGCCAATATGTTATAAAATGTTTGCTTTTTTCAAAGCCATTTTCAACTTACATATTGAGACAGGAAGATAGAGAAGGGAAGATAGGGAGGCATGCTTCAAATGAGCGATGTAATAAACGTAGATTTGAAGAAAGATACTAGGCGCAGATTTGAAGAAGGATAACAGGCCCTAGAGAAAGTTTGATGCAAGCCTTGCCCGATGCGGAATTTCTCAAAAATGATACATGGAATACGGAATTTTTACAAAGTTTGAAGAATCTGAGAAATCCTTTACCTGCTGTCTTGTAAAAAACACCTGGTCAAATCTTGGTTTTGTCATTCAGTAGCATCTATGATTTGTAAAATTCGCTAATCAGCCTTTCCGCACGCAATTATGAGCATCCTGTGATAGTATCTTTTACTAACTCCTCACAATAATAAAGGTACGTTTCTCTAGTTAGAATTTATCTAGATTATCTTGCCCAGCCCTGGATGGAGCCTCCTGTACTGTTCAAAAATCTATTTTTTTTAATACAAACTTGAAATTACGTGACAGTTCAACAAAGATAGGAAATCGAAGATAAACCTTTTATATTATGTTTTTTATTTATTGGCAAATTTGAGGGGTAATTCACTTGATTCGCCACTAGGGTAATCATGTCAAGTTATGTTCTCAGAATATTAGATATTCCCATTTAGCTCTTAATTCAATACAGAGTCTAATCAACTTCAACTCAAATCTCTCCGAACGCATACTTCACGTGTACATTAAAAGACAACAACATCAACAACTACTGTAGTACGTCATACCATACAATTTCTTACACAGAGCATTTTCTAGCGATAAAACAAGATTTTACTTACAAGGAACTCTATATTCAAAAATATCAATATCTTGGATTGTATAGCTGGGTTCCTTCAAATTCATGGTCTCTAGATCCTGTATCGCAGATTTCGACACCATACCGAAAAGAGAATAAGAATTCCAAGAAAAGCGAAACTACAGCACGCGGAAAGGATCCCAATAAACTCTGTTTTGCTCAGCAAACGGCTTACATGAATGGTTTCTTGTGACATCTCGTTTTCATTCATAAGTTGATATCCAAGAGACCAAGAGATAGAATTGCTGTTTACCTGCCAAGGTAGAGTCGAGCAAGAGAAGTAAGTCAATGCGAAATATTACTGTTTTCGTACAGATCCATTTGTAATTTCTCGTTTAAACAGAGACCCGCGAAAATGTGATCAAAAACTAAAATTGTGCTAAAATTGATAGGTCTTCATAGAGCCACTGTGCAGATTGCGAATTGTAACAATCCTCTTTCGCATAATGCAAAATATGGGAATTTAGGTGACCACCAAAGTTTATCGGAATATACAGCTTTTAACTTGTAATAGCTATATAAATACGTTATCGAAATCTTTGACTAGGAAAATAAAATATTTGATTAAGTTGCATCGGCTGAAACCAACACAATATAAAGAGTATTCCTTATTACAATAAACATTATGAAGCGTGGGAGATTATCAGATTATAAGACTATCGGGTTATCTAGACTATCTGTATCTGCATTCAACGTAGAAACTATATTGAAACCAAACAAATTGTCTGTTTTATCCTATGAATAATTTGACAATTCATTTGTCAAGCTCGCTTTTCAATTTCAATAAATGTGTTAATATTACGTACCTTTCTAATAAAAGTAATTTTCCATGTGGTATCGTTGAAGTGGATTCCTTGTGTCAAAAGCTTGTAGGCATAGGCTGAACTTAAGCAATATGTGTATCTGTATTTGGGTGGCAATGGGATTGTCCTTACCTAAGAAGATAATTAAAGATGGTAATGTTCCACCAATATGGCAGAGGTTTGTGGTGCTCGAATAGTATTGAAATATATGTAGTGGTTAGATAATGCTACTGACATCACTACAGATATACTACCATCATATTGAAATACTACAGATAGCATACAGGGAGCTCTAGTGATGTTAGAAAAGTTTCAATTTGAACTGTATTACTCTTTCAGTGGGGACTCAAAGGGGTGATATGGGGGTAATTCTGAAAAAATGGTCTACATATTTCTCCTAAAATTGGATCAAAAAAGGCTGGGTAGGGGAAGATCAAATTTCTTGAGGGAAGTTAACTTGGTACAAATTCACTGAAACGAGGCAAAAGGGGCGTGGTCCCACTGGCCGCGCCCATTACCCTCCCAGTCTGTAATAGCTGGCGCCGCCACTGTACTCTTTGGCAATGAATAAACAGGGAATCGATGATAAAAACAAAACAAAAAATAACACACTTTAAAGATATGTTAGAATGCAATAAATGGTTAGACGTTCGCCTGTTCCTTGATTCATACAGTACAAAAAAGAAACTGTCCTTAATTTAGAACCCTGCTACATCAAGAAACGTAAATCTTATGGAGAACCGTATTCTCGCACAATTACCTCTGAGGCTGTCATGCTGCAAATTTTCTTAACAGCTGATTCGTATTCTGATCGATTTGCTGTTTTACTCATATTCAAGTCTTTTGGTGGATAGTAAAATGCGCTGAATGCCTAAAATAGAGTCAATTCCATAAAAAGGTGACGTGGCAATAGAGTGCTAGTGGAGTAGAGACACTGCAAACTGTTTATCTTAAAAAAGAAATATGTAGCTAATTTCAAATAATCCTTAAAATGCCTTGAAAGACGGGCCATGCCACTCTAGACAATTATATCGTTTCTATAGCAAATCGACATAAATTTGATTATTTTTCTTAGGTGTCTGGCAAGTTACAGCTCCGTGTTAGAATTTCAGATGAACTAGCGTCTACGATAAGATTTATTGACAGCATGTAAATATATGTAGCTTACGGTAACAGTGTGCCTGAAATGGCGAAATGTAATTCCGAGAGACATTATAACATGGCTTTACTCTCATTACTTATGAGGAGCCTTGACAAAGAATAGTCAGTAGCTGCAAAACATACCGCAAAATCCCCGTGAACACCTGGTTGAGCAACTCCATAAAAGCTACAACTAGAATGATTGCATCGCGTCGTGTCTATCAATTTTCCAACACTGCTCAAGCACTCTGTGAAATTGCTCTGGCCTGTAAATGTATAGGTCTTGCCAGATGGGCCTGTTAATTCGCTTCCAAAAGTCTTCAGAGCATATGGGCCTGATGAGCAGGGAACGGCCCATAAGTAATCAGATGTTTTAAAAAACCTGTTACCTTGATGACCACAGGGATCCTTGACGGTGCTTGAATAATTTTGATCCTGAAATTATAGCATTTGTGATGTAATGGTTTCATCAATAAAATAAAACAAAAAGTAAAAAACTGTATCTGTAACAAACAGCTTAATTCTAATTCCATAAAACTTTCTTCCTCTAGATAAAAATGTCTAGATAAAAATACGAGTTAAAATTGGTGTGTATGAATTAGTCCTAAAGCTTCTGAAGAGTTAACAATTTCATAAAAGGATAATGAATGTTGCGGATTAGGAGCTTCATAGGGTGTACCTTAAGGCCTGGTTGTTTAAAACAAAAAATGTTTCTAAATCTGTCAGAACTACGTGCAATGGGATAACAGGATCATGGGCGTAGCGGATGGTAAACGCCTGGACTGGGGTGGGCTAAGTATGGATCCTGCCCGAATATTAGTGCTTCGTTGATAATGGGAGAGCTGCAACCCCAAAAGGTCTTATGTCTTCTATACCTATGAACAGGATCCGAACACGTTCTCCCACCTTTCTTAAACGTGAGCTCTTCAAAAAGGCAAAAGGTTTATGATCCATCCATCCAAAAAAATTTTTTTGACAGGATTTGATGGTAGAGAAGTATTTGCCCCACCCCCTTTCACGAAGCCCCTGGGCGATATCGCAATACTCACCACTACAAGTTTTGCAAGGTATCTTTGCTCAAAAGCACTTCTACCGTAGCACAGATACGAATGCACGTAAGCCTTATAGTGATGGCCGTCAAAATTATATATCTCGCTTCCGCCAACGAAGTCTTTTTTGGCTGGTTGGAAAACAACTTGAAAGGAAGTACTCCCTAGTTCCAGTGCACCAAGAGTTTTCTAAAATGATTGAAGATAATGCTCGAGAGAGTTCGATAAATGAAAGAAGAAGAGTTTTTCAAAGCAAGATGGCAAATAATTCATAAGAAACATGGTGTAGGGTACCAGTAGACAGGTTATGAAAATAATATGTTGACCCTCACTTACTGGCGAATAACATTTTAAATGTAACTTGCACCTTGCGAATTAAATATCTTTAATTCAAGAACTTGCATTGATAAGAGGACAGAGAAACTAAAGTAACAGGTACAACTTTAAGAATATGTAAAGATGTGCCCCAAGTGTACTCCAAGCACAGGGATGAGAGGAGGGTGTTTCTGCATTGGCTGAGACGCATATGTGTTTCAAGTGTAATGGCGGAAATCCAGGGCCTGGTTATGAGACATCAGACACAAGCACTCTTCTGCGTCATGATTCACGGCAATGGAGTTTAAACCATTTATTCCATTCCCAATCTTCTTCGCTACTTTGTAGAATAAGAACATCGTCATGATTTGATTTATAAGTTGCCTGATGCTTATTATGGCAATAAAGATACTCTATACATATGCATGGGTTCTGACACAGGCTGGAAATGGGGGGGGGGAGGGAGAGGGGGAGGGACGAAGGGAAGATTTATCACTCAAAGAAAATAATTTGAAAATAGCTTCATTTTTTAACAAAAATTTGGGGACATGACCATTCTTCGTCGGAGGTCTTTATATGAATTTCTTAATCTGTAATTGACATAAGTATGATAAAGTGTAAACGGGATGTGGATCTTTTACACATGAAAGCAAACCGTTGACTTGAATCCACTGCTTAGGTAGTTCAGAGCACCCCAGCCAGTTATTCCTTCTTTGGCACCAGTCATAGTCCCTGCATGCTTGAACTTGAATTGTGACTGGTTGAGAGAATTTCTTACAATATCCCATATCTTATCAAAGGCAGTTTGATTTTTGAGCCTGCAAGTTGAAGGAAATAACAGCAATCTTTTTTCAAAAGAATTCATCAATATTTCACTTAACGAAATTATTCATTTGAAAATTGAACAGACATTGACCCAAGCAAACACATAAATCCATTACTGGTAGCAATTTTACGTACCAAAATCAAAGTTGGCAAAATACTTGACCTATAGATTCTTTCAATTTCACCTAGCAACACATTATATCCTTACCTCAAAATCCTCATTCCAGCGGTTGCTTCCATATATAACGGAACAGTTTTTCTTGTTTCTACAGGGACATTTTCTCTTGCTTTCAATAGACATTTTACTAAAAGGTCTTTTATCGGTTCAGGGTTTCTTTCATATGATGCCAAACCGTTATCTAGATATAGATTAAACATTAAAGCAATCATTAAAGATGTATTGCAACATTTTATTCTGTTTCAAAAACTCGCAGTCTTTTGTCGCTATAAAGTAAATTTCGTTAATAATAGGCCAATAGGTTTTAAAGGTATTGTTTTATTCAGTTTAAGAAACAAAATTTTAAGAAAGAGAGATCCTACTTGAGCTCAAAGTGCAGGATCCATCTAATTTAAAAAGGTTTTATGGTCTAATTCAGCAACATTTAGCTGCTCTAAACAGGCATCCACTTAATGCAAGCGAATGTAGACTTCGATAAAATAATCAACTAAAATCAAACTGGAAATGTCAATTTTACCTTCACATGCAATGTAGTCGATCATTTGCATTCCCTTATCCTTTCTTAATTCAAATATTGACAACCTCGTTCCAGATCCACCTGCATCTATGACAATACCTAGGCGACCCTAGTAATAAAAGGAAAATTACGTCAGTAACAAAAAGGATGTCAAAGATTGCTCAGCGGTAGAGCACTTGACGTACAAAGTCGGGGGTCGTGAGTTCGAGCCTCGCTCGGGTCGGTTATTTTCCCGCACTCTCTATTAATTATCTTCGAAATCCTGTTGTCTGTAAAATGTCAAAGATTACTCGATTTTTCATTAATAGAGTGAAAATAGCCCCAGTTTTCCATTAGCAAAAGAAAATTATCAGATGGTTAGAAACAACTTATTCAAGTTAATTATTGCAAATATTGAATGACGTTATTAGTGCAGAGCCTTCTAAAACACGATGTGGATACAAATTTCAAACGACACTCAGTGTGTTTTGAAATCTTTTTTCAGGTGCCTGTCGCTGTTTCGCTAAAAGGGGAATCCAAAACTATGCAGAAAAAAAAATGGGCGACAGTATATTTGTCTCACTGCTCTAAAGCTTTAGAAGATGTCATGAACATGAAGGTAAGCGTTTCTTAAATTTGAAGTATTGGGCGAACATTTTTTTGTTACGCAGCTTGGTCGGAAGGTGGTAGACGGAAGTTACACTGCTTCAGTTTCTATAAAGGGTCGATCATCGTCTAGAAACAGGTGGTGCCATTGGAAGAAAATAATTCTTTAGGGGGGGGGGGGTGTAGAAGCAAACAACCGGGTTTTAAGTCTATTCCGTGCTGATGTAACCAAACATTAGCTTTATGTTAGTAAGATTTTTAGTTGTAGTTTTCAAATTTTTTGTCGAGAAGCCTAGCATATTGCGCTCAGTAAAAAACGGGATGTTGCGATTCCAAGACTCCAAGGGAGTGCACTGACATTATCTAAATTTAATATCGATACAGACAAGAGCAATTAAAAAACTATTGAATGATTCGGTGTGATAAATACCTTAACTAATTCTTTGCTTTCCATGTTATTGACGAAATTCGTAGCAATTAAACCAGTTACAGCGATGACAATAAAAATTGCACCAGCCGCGACCAATGCACGTGAAACCATTTCTATTGGAAGGGGAGAAGTGTGTAAGCGAGGTGTTTAGAGGGCGAGCCCTATTAAAGCGCATCATAGGGGCAAATTATATTAAACGAAGTAGATATGACATGCAATAGCACAATTAAATTGTTCTATCAATAAACTATAGCAGCTCGGGAATCAACATCATTTAACTTTTGAACCTTGCCTGAAAACAAAAGTCAATAACATACCGGTGTCTTTCTAGAAAGTTTGAGAGTCGGCTGTGCAGCGGGCTCTTAAAATAACCACTCCCTTTGCCACACCCTAATGTATTTCTTTTTGTGATAGAAGCCCCCTATCTTGCATATAAATGGAATTTATATATCATTACCAAGGATGACCTTATGCTAAAACTGGAGGCTTGTTCACGTACAACTCCCTTTGCCACATTCCACGGTTTTTTGTGGTAGAACCTCTTTCGCAAAGAAAAGAATTTAAAATTGATATGCCTTAATCAACCACGGGTGATTTATGACTTAAATAGGAGGCTAGCTCACGCTATAATTTTCAAAGGAACTGGCTCGATCAGATATCACCCATTGGAAGGGGGCATAAATTTATGACCTTTATTAGGCCCTATTGCCATAGTGCCCTTGTTATAAACACTGCCGAAGAAATAATAAGAGTGAACCAAAATTAAGTTTCCTACGAAAAACGAAAACCAAAACGGAAAAACTCACTCTATGAAATAAATACGAAATTAAAAATTTCAGTTTCCGGGATGAAAAATTACCGTGTAGCCAATATGGTGGGCATCTGAGGCAGCCTTTCCACTAGTCTGGTTTAAAACAAAAACGGGTTAAAAGTTATCCGTTTCTGCGTCGCGTTCCCACTAACCCACTTGAAAAACGGCAATAGTTATTTTATAAAGTCGAAATAACTTTGAAAGAGCAATCCAAAAATGTATTTAGATTTAAAATTCGAAAAGTTTACTTTTTTCCTGACCGTGACTTGTCGCTCGGTCAATTACGTCACTGCCATGTGACTGGAACCAATTTTCCAAAATGTCCCAACTCGGAATCTTGATCCCTTATATATATACTTTCATTCTAATCATTAAAAATTTTGGTTACCCAGATCCTTAGATTGTAGTGGAAAATTCCCTGCCTAATTTGGAACAACAGCAACGTTTAAGAACTGAGATGCACCAAAAATCAAAAAACAAAATCCTCAATGTCGATGTTTCTTCCATTGACTTCCGTGTCTGCAGAATCAGATTCAGATTCAGAATCAAATTCAGATTCGCGTTCGCGAATAAGTTGAAGATAAGAAAAAGGGCCCAGTCGTCTCAAATATAACTGGCAACAGAATCTAATTCCTATTACAGATATCACCATACTTCTAGCTAGTATTTACAACAAAAATCAGTTGAATATATTTTCTCGTTTTTCTGTCGGCATAAACCCCGTTTTTCCAGAAAAACGAGAACGGATATTCATTCAACTGATTTTTGTTGTAAATACTAGCAAGAAGTATGGTGATATCTGTAATAGAAAGTGAATACATTTAACCCGACTTAGTAGGAACGATCAAAAACGGATTAAAAACGGGTCGAAGAAAAATGCCGTTTCCATTGACTCACTTTGAAAACGGATAACTTTTAACCCTGTTTTGTTTTAACCCTGGCTAGTGGAAATGCTGTCTGCCTGATCCTACTCAGTTTCTATCTTATGGTTACAAAGAAACCGCAGATTACTGTAATAAAAAAATTATTAATAGAGTACTTGCCAAGAATGAGAATATCAAATATACCTCACTACTGAAAAAAATATACAAATTTAGGACTAGTTGATTGATACTGACAAATTTGTATACCAATCATATCTAATTCAGGCATTTATCCTATCTGTGGCTTGTCATTTAATGCTGAAAACATGGGCAGAAAAGAGTAATGCTTCCAATACTTATATTTCACTTTGGTTATCACGACTAAGCAAGTCTACTTCAATTTAAAGAATTGAAATAAAACAATGACTCACCACTGGTACTAAAGCAATTGCACAGTTCTTGAAACGACGGGGTTCAATACAGAACTGTAGTTCAATGCGGCCTAGATCTCACTCAAAGGAGTCTAACTGCTTCTCTTGGTTTGCCTGACAGTGGGTGGAAAACAAGAATTAAAGCGTAGAAGGATGCATTGTTCAAAAATCTTCAGTGTTTATGTTGTATGGATTATGCAAACTTACTCGACGGATCAAAATACGAACGGCTGTTTTTCAGTGATAATAGGCTTCCGACACAGAATTTTGTGAAATACGATATCATTTGTCCTAACCAAAACAGAAAGCTTTTATTTGCTCCGTTTGCTGGACACAATTCCATGTGACATGCAATTCTAAGTACTTATTTACTTCTAACTTAGAAAAGGCTGTCAGTAGCATAGCAACAGGGAATTATGGAGTTTCTTCAGGAGCAATAACAGTATTCAAGTAATTCAGAACAATAAAAATACAATAAGGTAATTGCGAAGGAGCAGGGATAGCATGACTGGTTGCGTTCGAGGATCTAGAAGGGTAAAGGTTAATGACAGCCAAGTATTTTGATTTGAGTACATAAAGCATAGCATGGAGTTAAAACAAGCGCAAGTATGGGACGTTGGAACCGGGGGCACTCTCCTTAGAACATTTATAAAAGGCAACGAAATTGTTTGAAATAGTTTGAAAAATTCCATATACACTACGAAGAGTTTTCAACACAAATGCAAGTGTATTTGGTGTGGTAAGGGTGTGGTCATGGGTGTGGCCTTCTGAATTTGCCTACAGCACAGCCCTCCTTTTTAGGACACCCCTAATCGATCCAGCCCACAGCAGTGTCTATCTTCTGTTATCCAAAGGCTTGTAGGGCGAGAGTGCCCCTAGCCATTCTACATTTAATTGCATATACAGTCTCTTACAACACAATACATACTAATAGCTTGATTAATCACTGCAAATGTTTTACTAATACGAAGGTACTTTATAATTCTGTTACACCAATTCGTGATTCATAATTATTCATTTATAAGTTTGTTACAATAAAGGTTACATATCTTATGTTAAATACTATCTGCACACGATCAAGTAATCATAAAAGTATAATAACAAAAATTAGTTTTAAAAATTTATATTTAGTAGTCTGTCTATACATGACATGTCGTGTCGTGTAACACAAATGCTAGGGTTCAATTTTTGAGCTGGATTACCAAGTTGGATAGTGCAATACAATAATAGTTAATGGAGGTAATAATAGTTTATGCAAAGGGCTCATTTTGTTAGCAGATAAGTTTGAAAGCTTGGTGAATGGATTTTACAAGCCTACCTACCTTACAAGCCAAGAAAAGCCCTACATTCTATAGACCGTAGATAACTAAAATCACGGTGTCTTTTGGCCTTCAACGTGTCTTGTCGATCTCTATATAGAAATAAAACCGCAATTTAAACACACCCAATGGTGATCGAAAAGCTTTTGTTTTCTTTATACTCTTACATTGAAACATTAATAACCGTGAAGTTTATAAAGCAATTTCGCGATGGCAAATGTTAAGGGTTCAAAGGCGTGTAAAGTGATTGTTAGCTCGATTGTTACTTTTCACGAGATTTAGAAAAAGAAAGCTTTATCATTTTCGCGGGAAAGGACCATTCTTTGAGAAAGCTATAAGCAAATGGGATTGGTCGTTGGAAACAAAGGATTTTTATGATTTCTCGAGGCACGAGTGTCCTGAAAGTAGCCTGTGCTCCAGACCACTAACTTGAAAGTAGAGGGTTTGTGTGTAACCGAGAGCAAAATCGCGTACGAGGATTGAATTGAATTGTTTGCATGATTATCATAGATCTGTGTCAAATAACTATCACTTTCATTATTATAATTAACACTTTCAAGATATGGGTCTGAGACACAGGCTACCTGAAAAAAGCAGTTACGATATCCCCGTATCGATATTATGCAGCCCTTCTTCTAAGTTCAATCAACCTGTTGTTCCAGGTTAATATCTCTGCATACAGTCCAAGTTTATGGAGAGGGTGCCGGAGGGGTGCGTGAGGAATGCGTGAGGTGGTGGATGAACTGTAAATGTTGGGCGTAGGGGCGTAGGGGCGTAGCTAGCAAGGGTTGTAGGGGTGTGACACCCCTAATACTTCATGAGCTCTTCGGTAAAACCGTTTATCGGTAGGTGAAATAGCACCTAATGTTTTCTTCAACTATATCTTCGTCGGCAAATGCTACTACTGATGATTCCCTATTGTGGAAGGTCAACCTAAGCCACTGCTTGGACGCTACCCGGCGTGTGTTATGGTGTTTGACGCAACAGCTATAGCCATGATAGGCTGGGGATGGATAGATTTTTGTGATAAAGAAATGAGTGATGGGAGAATAGGATTTGGGGAATAAGAGAACATGGGGGCGAGTGGCACGACCAGGGTACGTGAGAAAGCTTTGCGATGAGATCTTATGAATGTCAAATGCGCACGCTATAAGTTAGAAGATATAACTTCGATATGAATTGTTTTGTTATGGGTATTAGATTTTCTCTTGCCCCCCTCGTCTACCGTCGTCCAGCAAGGAGACAGTTTGTCTATGACCATTTTCCAGCCCCAAAACGTGGCATCCGGCAGCGTTTGCATCTTCTTGCAGCGTTGCCCCCAGACATACCTAGAAGTATAATGTTGTAATGAATCACACAAAAAGAAGGGTCATTAGTCAAAGTAATTCAAAATCCTCTCTACTTTTTATACTTTCGTGTGTAAGTTACCATGCAGAAAGCTTATATAGTTTATTTGGGCATGATAGATTTTACTAGGGAATCATACATAAAAATGATATACCGTCCTGTTGATCTTTCAAATATCAGAAATACAAGACATTTCAAACAATACTTGAAAATGAATTTTGCTTACCCTGCTTGATATGCAGCCCGTAGCGAGTGTTGGTGTAACGCGTCTTTAGTTGGTGGCACAAGATCAATTTTTCTAGACTTCTTGGTAAAGAGGTATTTTCTACATTCGTTGATGTCTGTTAAGGAGCTCGACCGGTCGTACAGGAAGATCACAAAGCGTTGTAAATGAGCAAGATCGTCGTCATTGATGTTTTCTGGCCTATCTGACAGTCGCTGAAAAGTTCCAGTTATATCAGCGTATGCTTTCCAACATTGCCATGCAATTGCTTTTCCTTTGCCTGCAAAGGATGACACCGTGTCGCAACCGGTAAACGCATACCAATATAACAGAGCAGAACATTTGTCTTCTCCAAGTGAAGAAACAATGCTATGGACTGGAATCCACCTTCTATTTTTTCCTGCACCAAACTTTATCCAAAGCTCGTTTAAACCCAGGTCAGTAAATTTTGTAATTGCGATAATGACGATATCAGTATCAACCGTTTTTATGAGGATTTTCGAATGTCCTCCCTGCGAACAATGCTTTGCGTGCAAAAAAAGCCGAGTGTCAGCTTCCTCGTGATTGCAAGGACCAAGCTCGTCAATTATATCTTCGGAATCATTGGTGAGAACCTTTTCCATAGCTGTGCATACGATAGTCTTCCTCAGTACGTTTAAGTTGAAAACGGACTTAGCTAGCAGCTTGAAAAGCTCGGATTTGTTTTTATTCACTCTTTTCCAGAGTTTTTCCAGTTTTTGGGCAATGGTGTTTTCTCGGTCACTTTGATGCGCGATCCTGTCCCCCTTTTCTCTCGAGCTCCTTCTTTTATACTACCCTCGCGGTAAACGTCAAAAACTAAATCTAACCGTCTAATTTGTTCATGAGCAAGAAGTTTTCTTAAATACGATGCCATTTCATTGTCTGCATAGCCTTAAAAATTCTTTGATTGGAGGGGTGACACAATATTAACAATAGCTGCACCATCTAACAAAACTGCTGAAATTTGTGATGGCCTCTGTATCTCTGTAATTGTTTGCTTGTCAAAGATTTTCAAAATATCTGATTTTGTAGTTTGCCTCAGTTTTCCATACATTGAAAGTGCGAGTGGATCAACATGATTCTCATGCGCAAAGAATTCACTTAAATCACTTTCTCTGCTTTGGCACACCAAGTAAAGTCGTGAAAACAGTTGACAGTCCTGCTTCAATGAGGTCAGCTTTAGTTTAGATGTTGATGTTTTGATTGAATTTTTGTTTCGAAAAAGACTAAAACTGTTGCGCTTAATTGGGTCATGAACAAAAACATTAGAGCAACAAAGACCACTACTTCCTTTCAAACTATCTAAGTTCTGAGGACTGGGCAGGAGTAACCCTGTCTGAAAATAGCACTATTGGTATTTAAAGGCCAGAGGATTGCTTTAAACTTCCTCAGCATATCAAATTGTGTAAGTTTACCAAGTTTTAATGAGTATTTAGATAACTGTATGAAAGTTGCCATGATAACGTCTTCTGAGGACTGGGCACGAGTACACTGGTCTAAAAATAGCACTATTGATATTTTTGAGTTATGAAACCATTTTAATCTTTTTTATCATCTTACATTATGTCGTTTTACTAAGTTTTGTGGCTCTATAACTACTAGAAACATACTAACCACACTTACATCCTCCGAGGACTGGGCACAAGTGCCCCTTGTCTAAAAGTCGCACAAGGGGGTTTTTTCAAGTTGAGAAATTACATTTAACTTTTTCGGTATATCAAATTATGTAGGTTTGCAAAGTTTCTTGGTTGTAAAGCTAACAGGACAGAATTTAACACAATAACGTGTTCCGTGGACTGTGCACAAGTACCCTAGTCTAAAAAAAGCACAAGGGGCTTTTTTCAGAAAGGGTCTATATCCTATCTTGTTACGCATATCAAATCGTGTATTTTCGCCAAGTTTCATGCTTTTATCACAATTTGCACGATTTTTCAGCTTATCGACCTCACTAATGTTTAGTCTTTGATGTTCAAGTTTTGCATGAACTCAGCGAACGTAAAAGAGTCCTTGATACAATGTTTTGAATATTTTTTAAGAACAGGGTCCAAAGCTTCAGAAAGCCACTTAGCCAGTTCGTGTTGTGCTGAGCCAATCATAGACAAAATAGACAAAGTGGGACATTCGGCTTGTGTATTTTAGGGAGGCCATACATTTGTGGACGTTGTGAACCTGTGGGTCTTATCCTATCATAAACTTCGTTGGTCAACACTTTTGAGTTAACCAGCTCCAAAAGGCGTTTTTAAAGTCTCCGCTCTAGCTTGGCCGTTTTATCCTGTGTTTCGACGTCACCCAGTTTTTCGAACTTTTCTTTGTCGAGGAGAAAATTCTCCATTATTTGGATGTAGTCCTTTTTGTTAAAAAAACCACTCTTGACCCTTTATCAGGCTTAGTAATAAAGATGTCATTATTAGACCGTAGAGATTATACTGCTTGAAAATGTTCTCTATGCAAAAGAAAAACTGAGTGGTCGATGGGAGAGCCGCTGTAAGCGTACGCCAAATCGCTTAGTCGTGCTCGTAATTTGTTGAATTCCAAAGCATATGAAATAACGTGCCTTACAAGTTTAGCGTGTAAAATTTCGAAGTCAGCAAAAAATTTCTCTCTGTTTATTCGTTGTGGTGGGATACAAAACTTAAGACCATTACCTAAGACAAATGTTTCGGTTTCAGAGAGAGAATAGTCCGACAGATTATAAATGTTTTTTTGAATCGCTCATCAAGCCGCCAAACGTTTCCTAACTGGCATGCCAGTGTTCCTTTCAGCTTTTTCCGTAGTCTGTTTTAGCCTCCGCTGGTCAATTTCAGAAATGTAGCGGCAAAGTCGAAAATTATCAAAGAATGTGAGAAACAGACGCGTTTTAGACCATTGGCGTGTATATAGACGTTTTATATTCAGAATATTAGTTTTAGTTTTCTGAATTTCATCTTGTAGAAAAGCGCGCTCAATGGTTGGGCTGTGTCTAACACCAGACTTAGAAATACGAGCGGTGATAAATTCAGGTGCAAACCGATTATTCAAACATAAACTGAGAAAGGATAAAGAGAACCTGGCCGACCCCAGCTTACCTCTAAACTTAACCAATGCGTTGCGATCCTCAATCTCCTCATTTGTGTACCTCTGCTTGAAATATGCAAACAATCTTTTGGTGGTACAAAACTTGAAAATGGCTTTGTAAAAAGCAAAGATCTCCTACTTACCCTTTTGGAATGATGGTTAATTGTAATTCTATTGAACCGCTAACGAAAGGTTAGGGCTGCTACTCCGCAGAGTAACAATAAGATGGAGTACACTTTCTGATAAGAACAATTTTGTAAGAACACGAACCACAAACCGATCGAAAGTTAAGAGCAAATGAATTACAAGCTGAGGCCTGAACACCTCCCTGGAACACACTAGCTAGTAATTGCACTGCTCATACCCTAATAATTTAAGAATAAATTAAGAAGAATTCAGCCTCAAATCTTACGAAATAATTAAGGACAGCCTGCCTGAACATCAATCTACTTGTTTTTATGAAAATACTTCCCAGAATCCTTTCTACTGTCGTAGGGGCTTGTCTCAATTAAGGAGCATCGACAATATAATTTTTCAGCCAACGTGCATGCTTTTTGAACAAGGGACAGAGGAGCATTGAACCTCCTTTTTATAAGTTTATCAAAAATATACTTTCTATTATCAAGAAAAGGTTTGTCTCGGGGAAATATGTTTTTAAACTGAGTATTAGTCTGATACACAAGTGCCAGTACTAATTCATTGTATTTGGTTTAAATTTGGCATAATATAGGTATTTGCAGAGTTGAAGGCAGCACAAACTAGAGTATATAGTTTCACTTGAATCATGCAAAAATGAAACAAAGTCATGAAATATTATACTAGCAATATTTTGATTGTGCAATTATATAAATATCATTAAACATTGCGCAGAATGATTCAGCATAAAAACACAGATTCGACAAAACGTTAGTTAATAGCAATAAACTTAAGGTCTAAGTTCAAAATTGAATCATTCTCGTGTGGATATAAGGGGCTTGTTGAAAAAGAAAAAATCAGATAAGACACTAAAATTCGTCTACCTATTGGCAACTAGCTTACTGCTCATCCTTAATGTTCTAGCGTCTTAACGTTCTGTGCGAATTTCAAACTAGCTTCGATTAGTGATGGCTATGTTGAAAAATCAAACATGCTGTAGTAATACGTGTAACACTTCCGAATATATTTTGCATAATTTTAACATTAATAGTTATATTTATTTAAAGCTCATAAACGAAAGAAATAATACGCAATTACAAATAAAAAAATGGTACCAATAAGATCGACGAAATAATCATTGCACAATGAACTCCTAACTTTGGAATACATTGAACTTTATATTATCATACTGCTAAGATACACACAATAAAGTGACAAGTTTTCGATACAGAAATTATAAAATCGAGTAGCCGGTTTTTTAAACAAACCATGCTTAATGCAATCCTATTGATTTTGGCTTATCAAGCAATCTTCCTTTCTGTTGAATGCGAAACGATATTATGTGGCTTTTTAAAATAACCAATGAATACAGAGGTCGTTGTACACAATACCTTAATCGATTGAAAAACAAACAGAAAAAGTTAGATTCAATATTCGCTTTACCAATACCTAAGCAGACATCCTTCGTTAAGGAAAGCATTAATTCGAAAAGAAAAAAAGCAATTCAAAGCAATAAATTAAAAGCAATCAATACACGCTATCAGATTATATATAACATGGCTAAAACGCTATCATACAATGATTAACAATAATAAAAATAACAAAAAAACTGCTGATTATCTGTTCATCTAATTGCGAGTATAAAATACATATACCTAATCTTTATAGAGCTTCTAAAAGAATTTTACTGTGTTAAACTAGAATGTTGTAGTCAATGTTGACAAACAAGAAAATACCATGAGCAAAAATACAACAACCATCGTCGTTCTTTACCTCTTGTGCAATCGTTGTGAATGGCAGACATTTCAGTTTCTATTAGTATGGCAAAAACCTGCTTGAAATCTTGTGTAAAAATATTCTAGAATGCGTGACATAACAAAAATAGTCCTTGAACTAGGAAAAGATATCAATGGCCATGCTTTTCACAATTGTGGCTCTAAAAGAATCTGCGTGCTTGGTATTTCTGAATCACAGACACGGTTTCCAACTCTCTCCAACAAAGCTGCGGTTTAACGAAGAATCAAAATATATAATCTCCATAAAATGTTGCTAAAATGTCCTATACGAGTATCTAAACACTTCGAAGGGTCAAAAAAGAACCTTCATTATCTATCAAGCTTCACAAATTCAACTCCATCACTACGTGTTATTGCACCTCATACAACCATACCGCGATCTAATATTCTTCCCCTTTGGAAGGGCGTCGTCTACAGCTTTTCAACGTAACTGGTTGGAACATAGCCTTCCTCACTACCTCGAGCAACCAAAGTCCACCCACTTCCATCATCATCCACAATTACCAACTCTTCACCTGCTGACACTGTGAACTCACCATCAGATCGACCTGTCAAAAATCATAATGCAAACAACATAATTTTCAATTACATACCTTCTAGGAACACAGTCAAGCTTGAGACATCAAAGTTATTTTTTCTAACGCTTTGTGATCAAATAGAATTAGAAAATCAAGTTTGAATAGAAAGCCTGATCATGCACAAGTTGGAGGATAGTTGCAGGATTTCGCCGCAAATTCACCCAAATAGTCCAGAAAAGCTTCGTTTGTATTCACTAGATAAACCTAACTCACTAAATGGGCCTTTTTGCTAAAGCATTGAGGACCAAGTGCAGTCTTGGCTGGGTACTTTTAAAGTCGTTTATCTTTAAATGACCTCTTCGTTTCTCAGTCACGAAACCTACTGTAATCCAATAAGAGAAGAGGTGTAGTGAAAGCGAATCTTACCTTCAAAATCGTATAGTACCGTGCATTTGGGCTCATCAAACTCATCGGTTAAAGGCGGAGGAGGAGGGACAGGTGGTCCCGTCACTTCAACAGTTGGTGCTCCAACTGGCGGCATACTAGCATTGTTCTGAGGTGGAGGTGGGGCAGCGGGAACATGGTCGTTGGACACATTACTGGATAAACTCTGCATTGAACTTGATCCGCTCATTTTGGATGGCATAGTCGGAGGTGCCGTCTCTTCGATAACAGCTAAGTAACACTGAAAGAGTTGTTGGTATAAGGGTTATAAACGTCTCATCTCAAGAGCCCTGAAGTTGATTTACATCATTGGCATGCTCATTGAATGTATTTAATTTTTACACTGAAATCCTATTAATGATTCAACCAAGACTTGACACGAAAACAAATAAACTAAAATCATTCACATTGTGAGTTAGGTCAATATCCACAAATTACCATATAAAAAAGGAATAATGCTGCATCGAAAAAAAGGAGAATTTCTTACCCGGTATTGATGAAGGAGATGGTTAAATTTGTCGATTTCTTTGGCATTAGCATCAAGCTGCGACTGGATTGTTTGCATGTCACCCCCAAACTGAGCAACTGTCTCTGACATTTTAACGAGTGCATCTCTGCAAGGTATTATAGTGGAAGTGAGAAAAAGACAATTTTCACAAGTGTTTGATGTACAAAACAGGTTTCCAAAGTAAAGAAACATGTGTAGGCCGTAATACTTTTTAAGGACTCGTCATGTTCTTAAAATCCAATACTGAAAATATTCGAAGAAATAAACATAGCTTATAAAACATCAAATTAAAAGTAAAAATATAAATCCAGTAATGAAAAAAGTAAAAATCAAGAATTTAACGAATTTCAACCTTGACTTGGTCTGTTGATTAACCTGGTCCTCAAGTTCTCTGATCTTCTTGTGAAACTTCTTTCTTCTTTGCTCTGGTGGTAAATCACTAAAATCGTCAGCATAGTCTTCTTGATTTAATGCTTTTGCCTTAAAAAGAGTAAATTGTTCTTTTACTTGCGGAAAGCATACAATTCTACAACGATTGAACAATTCACAATAAGACATTCTTGGGAAGTAAGGTTTTGTTTAAAAACATAAAATTAGAATTCTTACAGAGGTCAATGTATATTTTAACAAAAGGTGTAAGTTTTTTGTACACCCCTTTCTTCCTGGCACTGGAAGCTATTTTGCCTTACAAACACCATATTTACTTAACGTCCTGCCATGAATACCTTTTCTCGACTCCTGAAGAGACCTTTCTTCGATCGACTAGCTTTAGGAGACCTCGCTGCAGGAACTGCTAGATTTGGCTTGCCGTTATCTTCAAATAATATGTTGCCCGGCCGCTGATTCCCGGTTTTGTGCATGTCAATCAAAGAGAGTGAATCCTAAAGAACAGAGGTTGTCGTTAATACCCAATGTCACACTGAATTGTGAAAAAGGTTCTTGACATAGTTCGTAAGAAATGAATATGAAAATCATTGTAAACAAAGCATTTTTTAAGTTGTTGGCACAAAAGTGTAAACTTCTCTTGGCGATTTAAAATGTGGAATAGCTGTCATACTTCGCAAAAGCAAGAACGGTGCTGAAAAACATAGAACTAAAGACAGGAGTTGGATGAAATCAAAGATAATATATTTTCAAAAATCCCGATAACCAAAACTATAACCTAAATCAAGACTTGTTCTCGCAGTATTTCACAACAATTAGATCAGTTTCTTACAAAATTTCATTCTACAGTCTTACCTTCTTAGCATCACATGTGTCTGCAGCTGCGTCCATACCCTCCAAGCATCGATGAACAATAGGAATGATCACTCTATGAGCCTCAGTGAATGCTTTGAAATATCCTTTCAGTTTTTCAATCCGATCTTCCTCTGCAGCTTCCATTTTTTCCTAAAAACCAAGGCATCGAATATTGATTTGAAGAATCAAATAGCCAAAATCTATCAAATAAATACATCCACAAACAATAAAATAGTTAGGTGCCTTTGTTAAAGCAAGAATTCAGATTCTCGTTGTTAGATATGATAAAATGATGTAATTATCAGTTTTAAACTTTCATCAGCTAAAAAGTGGCAAAAACTTACATCTAAAACTCTTGGCAGGTCAGATTCATAGAAGAGGGTCTGTGTTTTGTTGAAATTTTCCAGTGCAGCTAGATAATCACCCTTTGCCTTTTCTGAAACCTGGCCTTTTTCTTTTGAGATATTTTGAAACTAAACAATAAAATAATAAAAGTTGGAGGTGTAAGCATTTCTTCTTAAAATATTTCATAAACTTTATATAGAGCACTATCTATTCGTTATTATTATCTAGAGCTTAAAAGATCAACATATAAAATATAATTTGGAAGTAGAAAATTATATTAACCATTTCAAGGAGCCTATGAATGAAATAAGTCAATGTCATTTTTCATTGGCAATACATTACTGCCAAGCATGTGATAACTAATTGCAATTCATATTATGGTTAAGCACAATCATTGTGCTGTAAGATCTCTCACAATCAAATTTGAGAGTCCAGTATTAAGGGATGAAATTAATCAGGACAAAAGAGGTAATAAGGTAAAACAAAAGAAGTCATGCACTTAAGATATCAAGACCTGGCAAGTTTGACTCCGCATTTAACTTTGTAATAATTCAAATAGTAATAATATAGTAATATGAGCTTAATATTCATATTTAAGTAATACTCAAACCAGAAAACCCAATAATTTATATGTATATATATAATATTTTCAAAATTAGTCTGATATAACAACAAAATTTTTACACAAGAAATAACAATGTCAGAAAATAACCTTTATAATCTGCGCTTTGGTTAAATCCATACTACTTGATGCTGTCTCATACTGTTTAATTGCCAGATCTGACTCTTGGTTTGCTTTTTCATATTCCTTTCTTGCCTTCAAAAGAAACAGGTATCAAACCAACATAATGGGAGGAAATAAAATTTAAAGAAAAGTAGAAAAATCTTAATATTTCTTCCTTATTAAATAATTGTTTAAAACAATAACCAACACAATGAAACATTTGAAGGCAAACAACAGATGTGAAGTGGCTTAAGCCTTCTGTCAATCAATATCAAACAGGTGGAATCCCTCTCACTGGTTGGTCAATTCTTCACTGAAAGATGGTCTAGGCCCCCTAAGTATCTGTCAATTTCCTTTAACTGATAACAATACAAAGAATGATTGTATGTTAAACAGTGCAGACATACTTACATTTTGCATTTGTCTATTTGTGGATTCTAAATTTGATTTTAAATCACTCAGCTCATGAAGATGCTGTGAAGAAAATTGCATCAAAATCTTAACAGGATCATACATCTACAAAGGATCTAAAGTTATTATTGAATGAAAAAAACTCAACTTTGCTACACAGGAAAATCAAAAATGAACTCAGTTTCATAAGGTTGATAAATTGCATATTATGTACATTTATAACAAGAAGCCAGATATGTTGACTCATAATGAAAATGTAATATGAAAGACACCAGGTAAAGAGCAAGGTTGTCATGAGAGATTATTCTGGCATTGAACAGAGCTTGATACATATCAAACCAACAAAATTGCATAAACTTTTTAACTGACAAGAAAAGAAAAGTTTCTACAAATATCTATAATAGCAGCTTTCAGAATGGTGTGCGTGGCTAGTGCTTTGAAAAAACTTTGTTAAGTGCTTCATTGTTCCATAACTAGCAAGTTTAAAGATTCTACTGTTCTGCTTCCTACTTTAAATGGCACAATATTGGTAAAATAAAAGTACCTTTCTTTTTTCTGATTTTGATTCATTAATGAGATGATGCATATCTTTGAAAAGATTATCTTGTAGGCTTTCAGAAATTCTTTCACGTTGTCCAGCATAGTCATCTACTTCAGCAAGAAGTTTCTTAAGAGCTATTTGATAGGTAAACCTACAATTAAACAAAAAAATATTTGTTAGCAAACACTGTAAAACTAGATACAGTTTTAATGCTAAGAATTTTTGGTACTGCAAAATTTGAAGATGGCACAAAATAGCAAACATAGCATACAAAAATACCTTTTATCCCAGGGTATTGGAAAGTGACCGAAAGTAAACAGAAATTAATATCCAGGTGTGGATCTAAAGTAACATGAGAGGGAGAAAGACAAGTCATTAGTCCTTTCATTTCTACGAATCCAAATCTACCTTATCCTTTCATATAACTGAAGAGTCTAAGAGAATGAAAATGAAAACTCTTTCTGTCTACACAGGTCTGGATCCTTTGTTTTGATGTTAACAGATTCCAATACTCCTTAATGAAAAGACAACCTTGCTTGCCTAATGATTTTGAAATTGTTGTCTCTATATCTTATGGCACTCTGGATTTGTGAGCAAATGTTGACCAATCACATTTTATTCTGGTGTTTTGGTTTTTGCAACTATGCCTTGGTTTTCTATCTCAGGAACCATTTTTTTCTTGTTGTCTGGGGAAACATTTTGTTTTCATCTACCATATATTCCTTTTATCCTCAATTCTCCATCTTTTACCATACAAGAATTTTATCTGTAACTTTTTGAAAACTTCACCTCCAAAATTTTCACAAAACATTGTTGTTAATGAATTTTGTTTATTATAGTGAGAAACCTTAAAATAAACTGGATTAACTGTGTATTTGCTTCTTGTAAACACAACTGATAGAGACAGAGCCTAGACCAGAAGTTTAAATAACCTTATCTGTAACAATTAATCTTTAAGAAAAACTTACTGTAAATCATCTTCTTCCTTCTTCTTGAACTGAAATTGCTTTACCAGTTTTCTTAAAAATAAACAAGAAGGTTCACCACATGAAAAAGACTTAATATCTATAATATAATAAACCACTAAAATCTTAAAGTAAAACAGAACCTTTTCCCTTATTTAAAATTTAATCCAATTTTTTCTTTTCAAACTTTGATTATTAAAAGCTTCCAAATCTTTAAACCTTTGCCCAAGTATGTGGTTCTTCCTGTGGCATATTTAATAGTCAGTTGGGGGAAAAAATACGCATTTTACACAAAGTTTGCTCTAGAAAAATATTCAAAAGATATCTTGTCAATATTCTTTTACTTTTCGATCTTGAATGGTAATACCTTGTTAACCAAACCTTTATTGTTTTGCTAATCCAATTAACCTTCTTATAATTAAAGAAAATTAATGCGAAATTTTTCCCCCATCAAATGGGGTAAAAAATGCTGATAGGTAGGGAAAAAATACGCACACATAAAAGAATGAATCCTAGAGGCTTATTTATGAAGAACATTCATATGATACTTGATTTTCCATGCAACAATGTTAAGCAATAGTTTTGAACAGCTTCTAAGTGATTTTAAAGTTAAAAAGCATGAGGATGTCTGCTATTAAAAACTTTGGCATATGAAAACGAGGCTATGACTCAAGTGCCAAAAATACATTGTAAATTCCCATTAATATAAGCTTATGTAATATCTCATGATAATTTGTGCCTCTGTGACTCATATTTACATATCTCAATAGGTCCCATACCAACATCAATCGAAATCAGGAGTGCGTAATTTTTCCCCATGTGCTCAAAAATTGTGTGTCCAAAAAATACGCATGCCATGTAGACAAAACAAAAGATAGCAAGCAAATGTAATTATCATAGGTCAAAAGATTAATCTCTTAGAACAACTGAGAACACTTGACTTTGAGGGCTTGACAGTTACTGACGCGACAATAAGAAAGTTCCATGATTTCCTACAAAACATTATATTGGGCCAATTTACAAGGTAAACAAACAATTCCAATTTATTTTAAATCAAGAATCCTTACAGAAGGGAAAAGCCGGTCAAATTGACAGGCCTTCTCTAGGCTATCTGGGAACCACAAGCAAAACAATATAAGTGATTGGGCGTGGCTGAAAAGGTGGTGCGTAATTTTTCCCCCGCAGAGACACATGCGTATTTTTTACCCGGATTGACTATAAAGAAGATTTTGCTATATCTATTTATTTGCTGCACAAAAAGGTACACAAAGACAGAAGCTTATTCTGGGTCTGTCTTAAGAGTAATGAATACATTTTAGGAAACCATGAAACTCTGCTGTTATGAAGCCAAAAAGCATATGAAAGCCTCCTATAGCGGGATACCAAATTTTGATTACACATTCATGGCTATAAGCATTGGTGGTGCTGTTACATGCATAAATAGTGTTTATCAAAATTTTGGAGGGTGGAAAAGCATGCTACTCTCATGGAACCAATGTTCCATGGCCAACATCAAAACTGTTTTTAACTAGATAGCAACACACCTATTTAATTTGAAGTCAATTACCTAAACCAACTTTCCTGTATTTCTTGAATTGAAAACACCTTGACCAAGAAGACAAAATATTAAACACCATTGTAAAACAGAAGTAGTTACCTTAAATCTTTAGCATAATCTTGCTCTATCTTTGCTCTTGCTTTCACAAAGCTTGCACATTTTTCCAAGAATTCAATTCCTTGCTGGGTATGCTTTTCTACTTGGTCCCTCTTGTCCTTAATTAAAAAAAAGTTTTTTTGGAGTCATACATCTATGAAAAGACTCACCCTTAAAAAGGCAAAAACTGGATAAAGAGGTTTCACTAACTGTGGATGCACTAGTTCTGTGCAGTTTCACCATTTTTAATGCTTGATATATTTAATAAGGCTGTTTAAAAGTATTCTTAGTTAGACCTATGTAAGAGTTATGCAAATTACTTCCTGCATTGTGTTCTTCACCATTGTGTATTATGAAGTTAGGGAGGCAGACTTCATTAAGGGAACAAAGATCCTTTTCCTTCAGTTACAGGTCTTGTCTGTTCTTCATTAGGAAGCAGTGTTTTTGTTTTCAACCTAGTTCCTCATGTTGGACATGCACTGACATAGACAGAGTTTGTATTGAAAATTCTATGCATCTTGATGATTCTATTGTATTAGTTTATTGATTAGTTTGAGGAATTTTGGTCTGATGTTGCTGTAAACAATTTCATTGGGATAAACCAAATAATTTTAAATATGCTTGTGCTTCTTGGATAGAGTGTGGGTTTATCCACAAATTGTAGTATTTTGTGTGTCTGTTGGGTTAATGGCTTTGCTGTACTGGGGTTGCATAGCAAATATATTTACCTAATCTGATATATAAATTTCAAACATATACTTTATATAGCTATAGGGTTGTATTGAGTAAAAATAACCATCTTTTCGCATCCCATCATCAGCTTTTGGCTTAACTAGGATGGTCAACATCACACTCTACTTTTGTTTTATTTTGTTGGGTTCTATTGAAATGGAAATCAGAAAGCAAGAATAAAAGCATAATTTTGTTAAATAGATGCTAGAACCCTGACATCATTTTGAGAGAGTCCCTGTCAGGTATTTTATTCAACAAAGGCAAACTTATCCTTAATTTTAAAAGACATGAGACCAGGACAGTATTTGATCTTGATGGCACTGGCATGTATTGTGCTTTAAAACAGTGCATACCCCAATCAAATTTCTTTGCAATCAGAGTATTATATATCTAAAATTTTAGAACAATTTGACAGATTAAAACTGAATTCATCTTTTTGTTGAATGAATATTTGTAGGCCAAATGGGCAACTTTAAACTGTTGGCTTTGAAATTTAATCAAAACAACTGGTGTTAGCCTGAGGCAAAAGTCAAGCAAAAATTAGTTCGTTGCCTTGTGCTAAAACGGTACTTGATCTCTCACTCGGGCTATTGAATATTCATATAACATAAAATTCATCAGTTGAAACTACGATAGACAAAAATGCCTTATGTGAGAGTATGTGCATGAATTTATCATCCATGAAACTTAATATTGAACACTATTAGATTCTAACAAAGATCTGTATTTATTTTCAATCTCTTCGATCCCACTTGGCGGTGTTTATCTCACATATCTCTTCCGTAATTATTACCAAATCGAAAAAACAACTTTCCGGGTTGAATTTTCCAGGTGGTAACGGAACTTTGATAAATCATACATGTTCTTTCATTGGTATATCATTTGTTTATCATTGGTATATCTTTGGCATCTTATAGAAAAGAACTGGGCCTAGCATCTCAGACTGAGTACTGAAATTACTGAGTAGTAATTTGTCTTGTCTACTGCTGCAATAGCAAATAGCCCTGCAGGGGCGATCAAACTATGGTATGCGTTCATCTTACCCACAATTCACGTCCCCAACTCATTTTCCGATAACATCCAGTTTATAAAATGATCCCACAAAGCAGCAGAACTTCCAATAAAGGATTGATGTGTGCTTTTTGACCTTGCAATATTGAGCATTCGAACTCAGTATTTCCTGTATGTGGCTTCCTCACTTACAATTTCCTCGGTCCAGGCCCAAGCTTGTCAAACTGGTGGCTCCTTCGCACTTTCTACTGGACAACTTTTCCAGAACAAATTCTTTCATTTATACAGTAACAAACCATATAACAAACAAACAAGCATGTAAATAAAACAGTGCTTTGTGCTGGTTATAGCTAAGAATATGAAAAACATTTTCAAGTAGATGGAGACAAAAAAATATTCATATTCGTTTTCTGCTAAGTGCTAATAATTATGTTTCTGAGCACAATTCACGTCTTTTTCTTCTTTTAGCGAAACTCTAGGCCGTTCCCTTCTCATCAAAACATCATGTGACGTAAGAATTTGTCGGTGCCTTTGAAAAAAGTGATGAACTCGATTTTACTCTGCTTTCGTTCAGAGTAAAATTTCCAATGATAGAGAATTAACAGCAGATAAGTATGAGGCGCCATAGGGGACCAAAGTATGAGAAAATAATTTCGTTGTATGATAACGTATTTATGGTACATGAATATTTTTTCGGTATCATAATAGCTGTTTTATTGTATGTCTTGGAAATGTTATAGCATAAAATTCATGCCATAAAAATTTCATAGCATAAAATTCATGCCATGGAAAAATCACAGCATAAAATTCATGCCATAAAAATTTCATAGCATGAAATCCATGTCATGGAAATTTTATCTTTAGGGATTTTATCTTCATTCCTGTGACTTGTATTCTCTTGAACATGGATATCTTTAAAATTAACAGAGTTATTTTCTCGAATTTATCTAAGGAGGGCCCGGTTATTATGAAGTTGAGAGGGCCCGGGTTGCAATCGCAACCTAGCATCCCTGCCAGTCCGCCACTGTGAGCAAGGACATGGATTTGGACGTCCGAGAATAACCACCACGAGAGAAGAGATCGAGAGAGAGTTTTCTAACTTTCGAAGCTGGAAAATTGTTGCTCATCTGTTTGGTGTTTCAGTAAAGACACTTCGGCGACGACGCGTTGAATTTCATGCTATCATGACATTAATTTTATGCTATGAAATTTTTATGGCATTAATTTTATGCTATAACATTTCCAAGACATACAATAAAACAGCTATTATGATACCGAAAAAATATTCATGTACCATAAATACGTTTTCATAAAACGAAATTATTTTTTCATACTTTTGTCCCCTATGGGGCCTCATAGATAAGCGCATTAAATTCTGCAGCGAAAATGGACAATTTTAGACCCCGTTTACACTGTCCCGGGACAATTTTATACCGTTACGGTTCGCAAGTGTTTACACTGTCGCGGTTCCAAATTGTTCCGTTTAGCCGTTCCGTTTACACTGTACCGGTACGACCTTAATTTAATGGTAGAACATTGTTTAGAAGAAGCTGTATTTAGTCAACCAAGGCTTTTATTTTGCCGCTGAAGTCAACAATCGAATTTTTATTGTGAGTTAAAATGGAGCGGAAGGCCGATTAAAACTTTACTTGGACGAAAGACAAGGTGGCTTTAATTTTCAGTGTTATTTTAGACTACAAAACTGCCAAGTCCAATCAAGGCTTGGACTGGGAAACACTACAAGCCTTTTCTGTGGTCGTCTTTTCTTCAGAATTCCCTTTTCTTCAGAATTTGAGAACGTAGTTACGCCACAATCAAAGCCTCGATTACCTGAAACAGCCATACAAAAGACCTCTTTGTGAATCCGTGACAAAATCGTCTCGGATAGGTGTTTACACTGTCCCGTTCAAAAACGGAACCGTGACGGTACAAAATTCGTTCGCTTTCAAAGCAGGGTCAAAACTGTTCCGGATAGCAGAGCAAAATCGTCACGGTTCCACAGTGCTAGTGTAAACGCAAGGGCGAACCGCGACAGTTTTGTCACGGTTCCAAACTTGCACGGGACAGTGTAAACGGGGTCTTAGTATGTTACACGATCCCTTTTCAGCATGTTGGTCCAATATCGAGAAAAGTGATGGCAAAAAGTGATAGGCTGTGGCTGTGTAGTTCTGTAGAGCCTAAACCCAAACCAGTTCTGAAGCACGGTCTGTCGGTGAAAATTTATTTCGAAAGGGTGAATCATCTCGTGTTAATATGCATCTTTATAAACTATTAGTGTGGTGTAGCACTGAAATGGTGCAAGCGCTTCCCTCTTCCGCCTACACAAGTCGAAGGTTGGAGTTTCTTTCTTTGCATGTATTATAATTTATCAGGTCGCACCTTTCTCTTTTTATGCGTTTACAAGTACCGCAAAGCGTTGAGAAAAGTGGGGGGTCTAAAAAAAGTTGGGGGGGGGGCTAAAACCGTATAAAAAGAGGCTTTACTGGTAGTTTATTACTTAGTATTTCATTATTTTGACAAAGAAGCTAAAGCCCCCCCCCCCCCCCCCCTATAAACATTCCTAGTCCTCGTGGCCTTTGTGCTTTAGTGTTGTTTCAGCCAAGGGGCAATGCTGTATCAACCCGAAGCAACCAAGTTTAAGGAACTAGGTACCAGGCTGTTTTTGTAAAGTCTTAGAAAGTTTCTTCCATAAAATTGTTTTCCAATAAAAAGGCAGGGTGGGCAGCAAAAGGAATCCCATATTTATGACAAAGGACATGAAAAAGCAAGGAATCTAGCGCGGATTTTTGCGATGCTTTTTTGAATTAAAGCAACGTGTAGCTTCATATATTTCCATTCAAAAGCTTTTACATCCGGTTAATTTATTATCCTGTTTTGGGTATCCGGTTAATTTCTATGAGCTTCCGTATGTATTTTATATTCGGTTACTTTCTTATTCTGTTAAAGAAATCATGTTGTCTTTTAGGTTTATCTTGCGTTTTCAAAAAGCTCCCCCCTTTCCCATCAAGTAACTTTAGTATTTTTAAATTTTGAACAAGCCCACCCCCTTTGAATAAGCCATCCTCGACTATATTCGAATGGCGATCTTTTACAGAAGCTTTATGCTATGGCTTATATAACAAGTTACCAGGCGAACAATGGCTTTATTTGGATGACAGCAGACCACTTGCTGTTGTTGGCAATAGACTTGGCTGAAAGACCTTTCAGTGTTCGATGTCATTTCAGTGTCATCAATTACAGGAAGAATACATATTGAAAAAGATCTTCTAACATAATCTAAACTTTGAACAACAAAGAATGGCAAATACGATGCAGATAAACTTTTATCTTCCTTCAGGCCTTCGTTAGAAAAGTCTGCAATAATACCCAAACCGTGAATGCTCCTAATCTGCGCTTTGCAAACTTTGTAAAATACGTAAAAGCGTTTATTTGCGTTAAAGCTTATGTGAAACTAAGATAGAACAGAAAAACAGAAAAAGAGAATGAGATATGTTGAATGGTGTTTGTGTAAAAATGTATTAAAATTTATCAGCATGTGCTAGCACCACTGATAAAAATGCGTCCATGCAATGAGTGTGTTCATCAGCGGACGTTTATAATGATCTTTCCTTTGGCTTTTCCTTCGATCTGTTCTCGGTGTGCTTCTGCAGCTTGCTCCATTGTGTATTCCTTACCCACAGATGCCTTTAACCAGCCCATCTCAAGGCCAGTTGAGATTCGAGCAGCATTCTCATTCATCTCTTCCTATTATGAACATTGAAAAGACGAGTGAGATCTTGAAACTAGACAGGTGATGTTGTGGAATCAGTTAAACAGGGATCTACTCGAATCTACCTTGGTTATTAATTTTAGAGGCATGATTCTCTAGACCCAATTATCGACTTGATTAGTCAAAAAAAAAACAAAGCCTTGAATAGATGCTATAAAAATACGTTAAAAAAAATTAGAATAAGGTTTCTAACAGTGTCAAAGATGGAAGGTGTCTGTGTGAAGTAGATACTGATTGCAGTCTATATTTGGAAACAAATGACATCAAAAACGAGCAGAAGTGTATAAATACAGTATTATATTTACCTTAGGAACTATGAAAAGGAGAACTCCTCGAATCTGAAGCATTTTCGTCATCACAGGAGAGGCATCAACCTCACATTTGCCTCTGTTGCCAATAATCTGAGAGGATTCGATTTAACATTATGAAACATAAAGTCACGCAAACATAGCATTATGTAAAAGTAATTGGGCAAAGTTCTCTAAGTTATGTAAAAGGGCGGGAGTTAACATAGTTAGCTCTAATGGTCATTTACTAGAGCTTCGAAACCAGTTTTAACTTCAACAAAGAACGTCATTTCGAACAAAAAATGATTTTTTAGTAATTCAGGCCGTGTTTTCAGTAATTAGGTAACGACTAAATGCAGGTCTACCGTGATAGGTACCAGGAGAGGCATTTGATTGTCACAGCAAATAATAGGAAAGCATTGTGCTATGTAAATTAATAAAATTAGAAAAATTTAAGCATCAGATTAAATGTTATGTTATGGAGATACAAATTTATTACTTTGGCTTTTATGAAAAGAGTGTGTTCCTACCACAATTCTTCCAAGAGTGGCTATCATATCCATGTCTTTCTGAAGATTGCTGTTGGCAAGCATCTCTATTATGACATTAGGACCATTTCCACCAGTCACTTCCTAAAATTTATTATATATTTATTTGAATTATACAAAGATAAAAAAGCTACCAACATTTGGGGTGCAAGAAACCACTAAAAACTTCAGCTCTGAACCGAGATAGTTAACTCAAATCTTCAATTATAACTTAAAAAATCAAACAAATTTTCAGAATCATCTTTTAATAGAATCTTTCAGTTATTATCTAAACTTGTTTTCATTTTAGCTCAATATAACCTAGTTTAAGAAACAAACTGATTTGAGAAACAGCAATTCACACCACGGTCTAAAGAAATAATCACACTATAATCTGGTTGAAATGCAACTTATTATTGTTTGCAACTTTATATGCTTTAAAGTATGAAATACTGTTGATAATCACTAATTTTATACTAAGATGTTTTTTGTTACTTGCTTTGGTGGTTCCATGTCCTGATGTTGCCATCTATAACAATGTTATACAATATAAATCATGAGCAATTTTCACCTTTCAATAAAATTTGAAATATTCCATATCAAAACAAACAAAAAACCTTAATCTGATCTACATAATCTTTGCTTCTGTGGTTGAACACATGATGGGCACCAGCTTCCTTTACCAGCTGTATGCCATCTTCAGTTGATGCTGTGCCAATTACTTTCATTCCATGGTTCTTTGCAAACATCACTGCAGGTAGACCAACCTATCCATAGAGCGAATAGTTTAGACAAATGAGTTCATACAGAAGTTTTTACAGAAAAATATTTTCATAAAAATCACACAAAAATGTTCTACATTTCATTCCATCATATAAAATTTCCTGAATATTGATACATCATACAAAATTTATCAAATTGTTCTCATTAAAAAAATTTACTAGATTTTTATCAATCTCATAAAATCAACTGTATTTTTAAGTTTATCGTACCAAATTCTGTCATTTTCATTCAACAAATGAAATTTCACCCCTTTAATAACACTGTTATATACTCACACCCCCACTTGCTCCATGAATCAAGACTGTTTCTCCTGGCTTTGAGTTACTTCTAAAATACAATTTCAAAACAACTTCTAAAATACATGAGCTGCTAGATTGTTATATTAACAATACAATCATATCTACTGAAGGGGTTAGGGGACTAATAATAAACAATTTGTTCAGTGATAAAAAATAAACCTCCTAAATTTAATATCCAGGTGCAAGCATTTACTTCAATTACAAACTCACACATCTACTTGAAAGGAGCTTGAAATTTCCAGAAACTATGAACCATTAAGGACCCTTCTGCCAAGCATGATCAATCACACTAAAACCTACAGGATTTTGTGCAAGCAAAAACAAAGAGCAATTAGATGCTCTCCTCAAATCTAAAACTTTTCTAAAAGATAAGTAACAAATCTGGTGTACAGTGTAAGAAGGCAGGGAAGTAGATTGGTTGTTTCTTACTAGAATAAATAGACATGTTCAAATAAGTGCAAATGTACGCAGGCCCATTGCTAGTTATTGTGCTCAAAGGGAGCTTCCAAGTCCCATTTGCCGCCAAAGTAGGTGAACCATCCTGTACTTGCTGACAAGTTTTGAAATTTGCAGACTAAGCACCTCTGGATGGTAAAAAACTCCTTGTTCTTGCAATGAAATTATTTTTCACGGGAGGTGTCATGCCCATGCACCCCTTATAGCAATGGGCCTGAATGTATGTGTAATAGCAAAACCCTAGACAAATATAGAAATAAGCACACATGTTTGAATAAGCACAAAATTCTTGAAAAGTTGTGCTTAATTTGTAAAATAGTCAAAAACAAGGCCATTATATGTACAATTTTGTGTGTTTTCAATGTATCTTTCCATATTTATATCTATTTACTGATGGTCATAAAAAAGTTGTATTGATCTATCCCTATCTGAAAGAGCATTACTGGACCTTTCCTAGCAAATTCATAAATACTGCAGATGAGGTTCAGCTGAATGAAGCTAATGAAAATTCTTGCATTGATAGTTAAACTTACAGTTGGAAAAGGGCTTGTGCAGCAGTTAAGAAAGGTATTCCCAATGCAGCTCCATGTTTGTATGAGGTATTATCAGGTAATTGATAGACATTTTCTTCTGGAACAGATACAAACTCTGCATATGTCCCAGCTCCATTGTTTGTAAGGTGGCATGTCCAAACTCTGTCACCTTTCTACAACAAGAATTTGAAAGTCGCTCAGAAAAACATTCTGTTATTAAGGGCATTATCAGGCCTGGCCGTTTGTATTTTTATAGGTGAGCTGTGAATCGCTCCCCTCATTTGCCGAGGCAAGCTAAATCAGTAACACAAAGAATGTACTTCAAAGACAATCGACAGATGACTTAATAGGCCCCTTAAGTATCTGTCGGTTGCCTTAATGTAATAGCCTCAGTCAGGAGTGTGATGTTTTACTTCTTTCAATTTTTATTTGCTTTAACCGTGACTTAGGCACCCCCTTTACTTGAATATAAACTCTACGCTAAAATACCCAGTTTTGGATCAAAATAGGCCAATCAGAAAACGCGCACACATGACTGTTGAGGTTGTCCAATCAGTGCCGCTTTCGTATTGAAAATGTTACCAACGGAGTCCTAAGGTGAAAACGAACTCACTTATGTCTACACAGAAGCGGTCGGTCATGTTTATATAGTAGATAGATTCACAAACAGCTAGATGGAACGATGATCAGGCTTTGCCATTAATGCCAAACATGTCGCCGTTATAGTTTTTCATGCAATCTGGGTTTTTCAGTAAATGCTGCTGGATAGTGGAATTCCATGTTTTGGTTGTCGTTTTTGATCCGCAAGACAGAGTACCTTGTTCTCTTTGAGGGATAGTTTTGTTTCTATTGCTGGAAGGGACCTGCTGTCTTATTATATCCCCAATCTACAATTCCTACCAATTTCTTCGACTTTCCTTCCAAAAATATTCCTGTTTTCTTAAGATTGAAAGGTTCTAATCGCTACAAACGTACCTTGCGCTTAACTATCCTTTTCCAAATAGATCGAAGTTTATGCCTATCATAACAAGAAAGCCCAACAAGCAAAAAGTTAATTGCAAAAAATGTAATGACGAGAGAAATCGCTGTTACAAAAATAAACCAATTAACCCTTGTGCGTTTTCATAATTCTCTGAATAGGAAATTTTAGGGGAGCGATTCTCCTTTCATGTTCTGTTTAGGAGAGCAATTCATAGCTCGCCTCAGGTTGCGAGGAGAGCATGGAGGCAAGCGCGAGCTATGGCTCGCCTCAAACAGCCAGGCCTGCATTATTGAAGGCAAATGTGTGCCATATTTCCATTGGAGGAGCCATGGTGCAAAGCAATGTTTTGGCCATTTTCCAAGCTGCACAGAATGGCACTACACAAACAATTAGCACTCACAAACCCTCACTAAACAAGTTTCAACTTGCACTTTGTACTTGATACTTGGCAATGTCCTCATTTATATGCACAGTCAACTCTGCCTTCAAGTCATTCCACTTACAGTCACATTACTGGTTACAGTCACAGAAAATATATACCCAAATAGACATTTACATAAAAATATATCTTCAAATTTAGCCCTGTTTACAGGCACATTCTGGTTGCAGTCACAAGTCTTTCAAGAAATATTTGGTATGACTATAACCAGAGTCTACTATAAATCAAACGGTTATCAGAACCATCCATTTCTTCATCCCCTCTGTTTTCAAATATCAGCATTTTAAAGAGTTTTGACAAGCAATATCTTAAGACGTTTTCCAACCAAGTGATGTCAGCACTTCTAATTGCGACAACTACATTTTATTGCTAGGAAAACATTTAGAAAAATCATTGTAGTAATTATATAAGAGATATCAGTTCATTAAAGTAAATTAGCAATACATTTTCAATTTGATCTGTTACATAAAAGCAAGATTTTGGTCACCAACCATGGGCAATCTTGACCATTATCTTTACAATATTAGAATTCGACAATTTGATGTCTTGAATCATCAAGGCCCTAATACAGGCCTTTCAGTTGATATTTTTTACTAAAATAATATTCTACCTGTCCTAGAAAAACATATGATACAAAAATTGAGACTGCCATTTAAAACTCACTTTAAATCTTTTTACATTTTCTCCAACACCTTCTACCTCTCCTGCACAATCACTTCCCAATATATGTGGGGTTGGAACTGGTCCAAACATGGATGCCCTGATATATGTTTCTACAGGATTCACACCAATCGCATGAACTTTCACTAGAACCTAGGAAAAAGAAGTGGTGTTTATTCAGATTTTCATTGCCAAAAAGCATACAGTAGCTAATGAAAATGGATGGATTTATTTTAACAGAACCAGGCAAAACTCTATTTCTCTCAAAGGTTTTTTACATACTATTAATTTTCTACTTTGAACAGAAATTATAAAAATTTAATATGTAAGGCAAAAATGCTTCCTAAGAAAAAAATAAGATAAACTACAAAAATTGAAAATTTAGGTCCAATATCCAGTATTTGTCATAAGGAAATCACCATGCATATGGTAAACCACATGCATTATTTCTTTCATGGGTGCGATTCACACTCTTGCATATTTAGCTATTTCAGACCCCATACAAAAACTGAATTCATTTAATCATCATTTGAACATTTTGTTCTTGAAAGCATTCAAACAGGTCATTGCATGGACACAGATAAAAGTTATTTTTGAATAGTGAATGAAAACTTGCCTCATTTTCCCCAGGTTCTGGCTGCTTCACCTCCTTTACTTTAAGAACTTCTGCACCTCCTGGGGCATCAAATACAATAGCTTTCATTTTGCCTTTGATGGTCAACTTGAAAACCCTGTAAAAGATGTTTGATATTATCAGTAAATTGTAGGATATCAGAGTACAGGTTCAAGAATGATAAACTTGTAAAAATGTCCTTACCTATTCATAAAGACTTCTGAATTACCTATTCATAACAACATAACAAAACGTCTTGAACTTTGTACTACCTGAGACTGCACCATGGGTGCCACAGAAGAGTGAGATAATTTTCCAATATGAGTGATTCAAGTTTGCTGGAAAAAGCACTCTTTGAAGCAAGTTACCTATGCAACATAATTAGATGGGGTTTTTTCAGATCAAGACAAAATCTCTCACATCCTGTTGTTGAGACAAAGTCTTGATATCAGGACTTATCAAGGTGGCTTGGAGTTGCGAATAAAAAAGGAGTTCAATTACTGAATTTTCTCCAGTCTTGGCCCAACATTACTAAGAAATGGCAAACACATTGACATTTATGCTGAAATTGTTTCTAGCGAAACCCTCATAGGGGAGGTATAGTACAATGGTTTCTTGCGCATCAGCTTTTTGTGCTTCTTGAATAAACATTTCAAAATCTATTTCAATGTTTTCATCGACCATATCATCACTATCATCCATTTTTTCCCTTTATCTGTCCGCAGATTGGACGACTTCATCCTCTTTAACTGGTTCAAAGATTTTAAATATTTACTTTAGTTTTGCCAATTCCTATAAAATCTTGATTAATTTAAAATTATATTTAAAAAGGTATCGAATAACGCCCATGTTTCGGATCTTTTTTTTAACAAGGTGTTGTTTTTTAATATTTGAAGCCTTGTATACCTAAACTATGTTTTGTTTAAATTGATTTTCCGGGAGGGCTGATTGCAAAAACTCTGCTCTTTCAATTCCATTCGTACAATTAGTGGTAATGTAAAAGGTTGTATATTGTATAACGTTTTTTGGCAAATATGTTTGATAATTTTACACTGCTTGATAGACGTATCACGTTGCTTGCTACTTTGAAAAGTGTGTTTCCTGGATTGCCTAGTAAAGAAATTGCTGACTCATGACGAACTTTGCATAATAAATACTATTTTAGCCAAATAACTTTGTTCAATCTACTGGGCATTCCAAATATGAAGCTAACAAAAATAATGCCTCTGTGCTTGCATATTTATCGCACACATAATTTGATGCCATAAAAACCCTAGGGCGGACGCTTTACGGTCTGCACATTACTGAAAAATCTGCAAGACCTATCCGCCGCCGTGAGCAGAAACTTTCTGTTGTGCTTTTCTTGATTGCTTGATTCAACGATGTTCGGTATATTTGTTGGCCTAGATATAAGTTTTGGTCAATTTTGCGAAATTCAGATGCCTTCTATCTTATTGAATGAGAACCACTCACCTGAAAAAACTTTGCTACCAAGATAGGCGAAAAGCGATGTCAACAGCCTCTACCTGGAGAAGCTTCAGGTTGTTGTCATAAGGCGGGAATGCACAGTCATGGCCACTCCTTTGGGTAGGGTCGAAAGGGCGCACGTGATAGAGACTTCTCAAATTCTTAGAATTATCAAATTTATTACTTTAGAGTTTCTTACTTAATTTTTCTCCTTTCTACTTCTTCCTTCTTCTTTCTCTTGTCTTTAGATTTCTTACTTTCCTTCTTTCTTCTTTCCTTCCTTATTCTTCATCCTTCCCTTCTACAAATTCTTTTGCACTTTTTTTCCTCTTCTTGTTCTTGTTCTTCTTCTATTTCATCTTGTTTCATGTCTTCTCATGTTTATTTTTGTTGTTATTCCCTCTCCTTCGTCCGATATTCTATTTATTCCCTTCGATTGAATAACCTCATCCATGAACTCCTTACCTTTTTGTGAATTTGCTGACATCAATATAATTTCCAGACCCAGCTCTCCAGCTAGCTCGGGGAAACCTAGCCTATGCCGTAGACCGCTATCTTCATTTGAACGGGGGGGGGGGGTCTACGGCGTAGGCAAGGGGAAACCCTTAAATGAGAGGACAGGAAATGACCAGTTTCTTCCCTGCCTTCTTCAATAAACTAGTAACTATATCTAGAATATCTCTCATGGAATGTGGCTTGCAGATACTCATGTTTCAAAAACGATTTCACAAGCATGCTGGTCAATCGCAACTCGTTATCAACTTTAACTTCACCCTAAAATTGTACTCCTCTAAATTCGCTTACTTGGTATTTCTCTAAATTGTATTCTAAAGATACGTAATAACAACGTTGCTAGCATTAGTTGCCTAAACTAAAATTGCTTTGAATTTGAACATTCGAAAGATATTTTGAAGAAAAGAGCCGAAAGTCTCTTAGTAGGTAATGTTCATAATTTTTTTCATTCAAGGAAATTATTAAGAGAAATTTTATAGAGAAGGTCAATAAAAGCTCAAAAATAATTTGTTAAGCAACGTTGGCAGAAAATTGTAGTTACCTACAGGTAAGTCAAAATAGCACAAAGGATATTGAGCCATTTTTATCAGGAAGAAAATAATTTTGATTTGTTCTATAGATAACACCACAATGAAAAATATGTGAAACTATTTTTGAGACTCTCCATGATAATCACACTTTATCACAAGAGTCATGTAGATTGCATTTCTTTAATTGACTGTTCATAAGTTGTTGATGGGAATTATAAATTGCTAGCGGAAAATTTTGCTTTTTCTCAAAAATTCTATTTTGCTCATTTCTTTTTTGGACGAAAAAAGATTTTAAATTTGTTGCATTTCACAATTGGCAAGAGCGTTTTTTAAACCATCAAATCGTGTTAACTTACTTAATTTACCTTGAATCAAACAAGAACGAAACAATTCAAAATTGAGTTACCAAAATTCGGTTCTTTTCTTTTTGAAGATCAATCTTAAAATTTATCCTGCAATAAAATTTTTTCACCCTTTAATAAATGCATGCAGTCCTACCAGCTACTAATGTACGAAATTTTCTAAATTGTTGTAGTGTTGAAACTTTGTAAGAAGCGCAACGATATGTAAAGTAAAGCACTTTAAGAGCTTTAAGAACGGATAGTATGTATAACTGTTTCTGGGGAATTTCGCTACGGCCCTAAGTTTAGGCCCTAAAAAATTTTCTTCTTGCTAAAGCCCTGATTCTATACAGATAAATCCGCGGAAATTTGACTTTTCGTAAATTTATGTAGAAAAACCTTTTTGGTCAACACAGAAACAGTGGCGCGTAATCCATTCTTCTTTTTTCATTATTTCAGTCATGTTGATTCTCTGCATTCTTTAACAATTTTGCTATGCAAGAAGAAATTTTAAGAAACAAAGGTTTTATGTTTTTTCGTCATTTTAGACGATTAAGATCAACTAAGATAAGTTATAATTGAGAGTTTTGAAATAAAAAGTTCACAAGTTTATGTTTACAGGTTACACTAGAAATACCAATTGGATCCTTGAGACGCAAATTTTAAAGACTCATTGCTAACAATGAGCCTTTGCGAGGGTGTCAAATAATCCAGGCGACAATCCAAACAGTGGCAGTAAACTTCTACTGATTAACCATAATTGATTTCAGCATGTCTGAAAATGCATTATGGGATGTTGGCGTAGCGTAATGGCTCATTGTTAGCAACGAGTCTTTAATGTGGAATGTTAAACCTTGTTTGCTAATCAATACTCTTTGTCTTTTGTTTGCTAAAAAAGTTACCCGGCAAACAAATGGAATCATATCGGTAGACGTTGAAGCTTTTGTTGTTTTGACCTGGATGTCATATATTCTGAATTCAAATTGCTCAGCCAAGCTTGAAACTATCCTTCATTTATTATTCTATTTTCATAGACGATTGTTTTCAAGATTTGATCGCCAATAGATGAGCTGAACGTCGATCGGTGAGTTTATTTTCGTCTATATTTCACTATGCTGTCAGACTGATTACTAACCATTTTGAGGCTCTTTTCATTAGGCCAATTGAACTGTAGGTCTTTCCGCAGAATTTGAAATCAGCGGATCAGATTCTTCCGCCAAATCTTGCAATTTTTCTACCCTAGATAAACGTATATGTGGATAGCTATTTTGTTTCGTATTTACGAATGTTGTTAGGTAGAAGCTGTTTATCTAATAACAACAAAAACAAAGCAATTGTTAATTTAGAGTTTTGATTTCTCGGCTGGTGTTTAAGTTATATCAACAAAACAAATTTTTTTCGCTTAATAATTCCCAAACAAGACATTGAGAAAACCAAATTATAGTTTTTCTTATAGCCATTATTGGTATGTTTATATGGCATTAATGCTTTCTTCGTAGATTGTTGCTCTCTGATCTATTGGTGACTTGAGAAGCATATATAACTTTTAAAACAACCAAAATTTGGTAGTTATTGGGCATATAGCTAAATTATATTGCCAAGCAATACACCATTTATTTTGATAAGATCGCAGGATGTTGCAAATCGGTGCTACCGTGACGATTCATGACATTCAGACGTTACTCCGAAGTGAAGTATTAAAGTCTTGTTCAGATAGGCCCTCGGTGGATGAGTGAAGAGCTGAAACTACTAATAAATGAAACTTCTCGAATGAAAAATATTTCAAAACAACTAGAGACATACTGTTTTGTCCCGAAAAGACTGATTTAACTTTGCCTTAGGTTCTCAAACGATGAGTACATAAGAAGTTTCAGCAATTCCTTTTCAGAAGGGTAAGACGATACAATACTACAGCAATGAAGTTATGTAGAATGACTTTTTTTAGTTACCAAGATATTCTCAAAGTGAATGTTCAATCAGCCATGATCATTTTTCAACTAAATAATCAAGATTTTGACTATGAAAATACAACATTGTTTTGATCGTACTGCCCATTAATGTCGGAAACTTTTTGACAAGAGATTTTGTTTGCTAGACTTTTTTAATTCAGTTGAAATTGCCTTAACATCTTCGTTAACATTGGCGGACGTCACAAGTCTCACAGGTGGAAGTAGATTAAGTCAAAATGATCCACAACTGAATGTTATAGGTATAGGATTTAAATTATTCTTAATAATGCCACGACAGGTGATTTCTAGCTTATCATCTCTGTGAATGAAGGCTTTTCAATTCATGAATTCAATGATAATTTATAAGCAAACCGTCAATAATGAAACTTTAAAGCTTGGTTTATCATTTCACTACGACAAGTCTATTGTCGTGTATAATCTGCATTTCTGACTGAAGTTTATTGTTGCGAAGCGAACTGGCAAACTGCAGCGAGTCTTGCATTGTTAGTGTTAATTTCACCCTTTAAATATTTAACCACACCAACCTGTTCCTGATTGTTGCAAATAAAAATAAGGATAAAATCGTTGACAACTAAAGAATAACATACAAAAGAGACCGAATTTTGTCTGCTTTTACATTCCTGCTGCATATTTGCTAAATCTACCTGCAATAGGGCTCTGAATTGTTTAGAGAAACGAAGCCCTATTCAGCAGCTGTCATAGTTTATGCTCTAAGTGTTGCCGCTAGCCAAGTATATAAGCATTAGATACCATAATGAAGATGAAATACTCAGGGTAATGTAAAGATGAAATATCATTCCACATAGAGATTCCATTTTGATACGTGAGTATATAAAAAAGGAGGTCTTTTACATTGATCAAATTTTGTGCCTACATTCAATTTTTCTGATTTTTTATCTTTATATTTAGGGATTCTAGACTTTAACGATTAGAATGAATTTGAGAAATATACCGTAAAAAACCGATTCATCTTTGAATTCCTTGCAAAATTTCCTCATTATTTCAACATGATATGAAGTTTTGCTGTGAGCTGTATAATTAGAACAAACAAATGAGACAGTCTTTTAAAATTCATTATTCTCAAATCATTAAATGGCAAATGGCGAGCTTTGCAGCAATTTTTGCTTGCATGAAATTCATTCAGGCTTTGAGAGACGGTACAAACAAAAGAACTGAAAAAAACTCAAGCACCACTAACAAATTAAATTTCGTTGCACAAAGGTTAATTTGCATTTGAAAACATCTGTTCTTGGGCATAGAAAAGTTGCTCAAACTCTTTTCACTGGATGCAAATGTTGGCTGTTTTTGTCGCCTAGGTTCTTGGCGTATGTACAAGTATTAACAGCGAATGTCATATGTTTGAAAGAAAGCCAAAGAGGACTGACACAATGATGAACTGATTCGAATCCTGTTAGATGCGAAGCTTATTTCCGTGCATCAAAGAAAATGCATTCTAGAGAAATGTTGCTCGTGTTTATTACAGTCAGTTTTTGGATGGCTGTCGGCATGTGCGTTATAATAACTGATGAAATAAGACTTCACAAAGACCTTCATAAAGATGGAATTTCATTATTACTGCCTGAAGAAGAAGGAGCTATTCGAAGAGCTAACGTCACTATTGGCCTGACATTAAACCAACTTGTTGATGTGGTGAGCGACCTCTTTGATTCTCATTTCATGATTGCAGTTGATAAATGCCTGTCGTAAATATAACAATTTATACGAAAGTAGGCTATTTCCCTTTTTTTGTAAATCGTGTAAATTCTATTATGTTTGTTGGCCTTGATGCATAGTTCTATAAGGCAAATCTCAAAAGCATTATAAAATTGTTGAAAACCTACATAAAAAAGTCATTTTGTCAGAATATTTCGATATGATAAAGGTCAATGCAGATAGGTACAATGTCAAAAGTCTTCTAATTTAACATGTTAAGCATGAAGTATTTCTTTCCTTTCTAAATTTGATCTTTGAATTTATTTTATGGTTAATACATTTTATCGTTTAAAATGCTGCACCTCTTTAGTTACCCTTCAAGAAGAAATATCCAGTTTCGAATCTTATCTTTAAAACTTAATACGAACAAGGGAAAGGTTGCAAGTGGCAAGCATATTGCTAATTTTCTAATTGTTGATCTCAAGTATATGCCCCTGCTGTTGGCTTCAAAACTGATATGAAACGTTAATAGCTTTTCTTGCTTCGTTTCGTAGGAGGAAACCAATGAGCATGTGATATTGAATGCTTTCATTCGCCAGGTGCGTCTAGCAGTTTTAAGATTCGCCTACGATTAATCGTGTGATGTTTCTATAACAACTAATGACTTATTAATATCTCTGATGATCGTCTTCCAAAGACTATGGCTAACTATCATAAAACTTAATACGATTTTCTGTTGATTCGCAATTTATCGTTGCCTAGCAAAATTGTAACTGGGAGAGGGATTTTTTCTAACGGTAATCGATCAAAAACCGTTTCTATTGAAAAACATGCCTTCGTGAGAAGAGCTGTGGTAGAATTGCACTAGTTGTAGTGTTAATTCAAAGAATACCAGCAAGAATTATATACAAACCAAGTCACATTATCAAATCGCTTTCAGGAAATTTACTATCTTCAAGATTCACCTGTGTAAAATATATCTTTATTCAATGCTTATAAAGTCTGCAACATCGCTTAAAGAAAGCAAAATGAACTAAAGCTGTTTCCTCTTTGGAAATATATCATTCTAAATAAACTAGTAGACTACAGAAGACACAAAATATGATATTTTATTATTTTTTCTAGCTCTGGTATAATCCGAATCTTCGTTGGGACCCAAACAAGTATGGTGGCATATCTCAAGTAAACGTGCAGCCACATCAAATTTGGACGCCAGACTTATATCTTTACGCCAAGTAAGGAAGCTATCTTTGCAACCCGATGCAATTTTGTTCTCTGATGATTCATTGGGTGTATGAATATATACCATAACAGCTACCTAGAATACGCTATTAATGCTTTTTGAGACAGAAAGCCCCGTCATTTCAGAATACCTCATTTTAGTATATTTTTCTGCGAAGCTCTCTGCACATTTGTTATGATGGACAGTGAACAATGGATATTGGTTAGTTAGTCCAACAAATAGCATACATTTATAGAAAATTTGAAACAGGCTGCAACAGGACGCATTGAAATACATAGAAACGCTATTGATGTTAAAAATATCGAAGTTAGGATAGCAAAAATTAAAAAACATTCACGAATTAAAAGAAATAATATTTTGAAGGATACAGATAAATGAAACAGTATTCGTTGCTTGCTTTTGACAATGTTTGCAGGCCAGAAAAATACTGTCACAACAGAAGTTATTTTAGAATTTAAAAAATTGCTGTTGAAATCCAAAGTGGATTCTTTGGGCAACTTTTCATGAGACACCTTTGTAGCATAGCATTAGGTTAAAACTAAGTTGTCATGTTCTGAAGATAATGGGGGCTTTTACTTAAAAAACGGCAGAAGGATACAAGATAGTGATGTCTTCAAAATTTATTTCCAGCGTGGAGGAGGACAAAAACTATAATGGCTTCCTAGATACCTTGAAGACGCGAGTCACGCTGCGGAGTGATGGCCTTGCCAAATGGCTGTCTCCAATCATGTTTCGTATAAGTTGCGGAATCAATGTTGCAAAATTTCCCTTTGACACTCAAAAGTGTGAATTCAGGTTCGGAAGTTTTACATACGACAGCGACAAGCTGACTTTGAAGCCCGAACTAAGTACTGCAGACCTGTCAAACTACACAGGTATGTTCATCATAGCACAGGCAACATTCATGAAGATGTCTGCTAGATAGCACATTCAAAGCGACTGTAGTGGAGTTACGATGGTAATTCCAATTCTAACCCCGAATAGTTCCCAAAAATCACTTATGGCCATGCACTGAACTACTTTTTTCTGTTGTTCCTTATGATTCTTCGATATGATAGCCCTTCGACATCTTGAGGACACTTTTCTAGGGTGAACAGCACAGTTAAAACAGGCTGCAACTGCAGTGGTGCAAATTTATCTTGACAAAGCTGGCGTGCTTACTTCCTCTTATTATAAAAAAGGATAATCTTGTTCTAGGCCTGTGCTTTTGTAGCCTTACTCAAGTAAGAGTGGATAACGATAGAATCATAAAAAATAAACCTGAAATTTTTTTCTACAAATGTGGCACTTATACTAGCTTTTCAATCAAGATATCAAAGTAACTTGCTACTGCCTTCACAAGTATGTGGGCAAAAAGCTAAATAAACTCTCAGTTCAAGACCCATTTATAATTAGGACTTTTTGAATCTGTCTGCAGCAAAAAGTCAAACTTGTACAGACAGAAGTTCTTTTTCTCTTTAGATTTTTTTAAATTTGCGAGTTGTTAGTAATCGCCGATTGTCCAAAACAAGAAACTAGCCAGAAGCACCATTTTTCCTCTTACATTACTTTTGTTCGACAATGTGATGTAAATGTTGGATCTTATTTTGGTTATTGTCCCATGTTTCACCCTCTGAGGACTTTACATACTTTAATGTGTTATATTTAGCCTTTTCGATGTTTTTTAAACTAGCTTTGGTTTGGTTATTTTACGCTTTTGAATTTGAAAGCAATAGCTTACCATTGCAGACATTTCCAGGCCTTTTTCCAAACCAGTTCTTTTCGTAATATGAATTAATTCTTTTTTTTCAAAATCTATTTACAGAAAACGTTGAGTGGCACGTGATATCTATGGACACGAAAAAAACACAAACCCTGCATACATGCTGCAAAAACAAATTTGACGAAGTCACGTTTAACCTGGTGATAAAAAGAAAGCCGCTGTTTTTACTTGTCAATCTAATTGCACCCAACATGATTTTTTCATTCTTAACAATCGTTGTCTACCTCATACCTGCAGGCTCAAGTAAGTTCTATATAGTTATTTTCTAGATTTTCAAAGTTCTAGCTATTAAATGTTCTCTGAAAACAGTACTTAGTAAGATATCACAAGATTATTCTAGAAAGCTTATGTCCTTAACTCTAAATTTTAAATTGCTGCAATATATCAGTCACATATTTTTTCCACTATTTGAAATCCTTTTTCTGATGTTTCATGTGATAAAACTTGGTACTTTTATAAAAATGATTTTGCGAATGCTTTAATAGTCTTTCCTCTTTAGATATGAAATGAAAAATTCGCAAATCTAAAGAAAAACTCCCCTAAGAAAATATAAGAATTTATTTTAAGCCATCCCTTTTTAATCATGCACGTCACAGGTGTATTTAAATACAAAACGCGAAAGAGGTTCCACATTTCTTCAGCTATAAGGCGCTTAAGAGGTCTTCTTTCAGTTCTATTTCCTCTCGCTCTGTGCCCGCCCTTGAATCAATTCTTTGATTCGTTGCTGTGCCTTTAGATTGCTAGAAGAGGATTCTATTACAGTGAAGTTAACATCTATAACGCACTGCCAACGCACTTAAAGACAGTTAAATTTTATCTCCCATTCAAGCAAGCACTCAGAGAACACTTTATGAATTAATTTTTCCAGCAACATTTTTATCATGTTTATAAAACATTAATATTTAAGTAGCAGGTCTTTTATTTTCTATATGATTTAAGAACAGGGCTTCTCTTGATAGCAGCTAACCATGTATTGTAAGCTGACTGAATCACCCTGTATAAATAATGTCTCATTATTATTATTATTACTATTACTTTTATTATTATTATCGTAATGCACTGAAATCCTCTCCCAACAAAAACATCCAATCTTTGTGGAAGAATACCAGCCAGGGCTTGAACATCCAATATGATGTTTACAGGAATACTAGAATTGAAGTACTGAAGGCTGTTAGATCAGAACATAAAGAGCGCCTTCAAAACCATCTTATATCTCAAGGTACCGTTCTTTCCTTCATCTTCGACCACTCTCTTCCTATAGCCTCTAAAATATGGACCACGGTTCAAAGCAACATGCCCAAGAACATTTACATTTTTACTATCAAATACCTTAACAACTCCCTTGCCACGCGAAAAACCTATCTAAAAGGAACATTACTCAGTGGTCCGATTGCTCTTTTTGCCATATGCCAGAAACGTTACTTCACATTGTTGCAGGCTGCAAAACATACCTCGAAGAAGGCCGTTACGCATGGCGCCATAACTCTGCATTAAACTTCCTAACACAGTCTTTAGCTATACCTAATTGCTCTCTTTACGTAGACCTTTCAGGTTATCTCTCACCCTCTATCATAACAGGAGATTCTTTCCGTCTTGATCTAATTCTAGTCACGTCTGACCATCGCCTATTAATACTCGAGCTTACCGTAGGATACGAAACTAACTTGGATGTTAATGCTAACCGGAAAAGAGAGAATTATTATCAGCAATCTTATCAAGGAACTGAGCCCTGCCTATGAACATGTTACCTTTGTTAACCTTTCTATGAGTACCCTCTGCATTCTGGAACCTCATCTACCTCTCTCTTCGACATGCTACATCCACTCAATTTTGACTTAAATGAAACTCAATCCATCTTGATGAAACTCATGAACATTTCTATCCGCTGCACCTACTATATTTTCTGTCGTCGAAACAAACCATGGCTAAGCCCCGAACTGATTGACTTCTAAATATTGTAATGCAGATAAGCCAATTATATGATGCCTGTAAAAGCGAGTGGTATAATTGTAAATTTAAAATGTATTCAATAAAAATGAGATGTTTAAAAAAAATTGTTATAAATGTTTTAAACGGAGTTTGAATTACCCATTTTTTTTCAGGTGAGAGGTCATCGTTTGTGGTCAGCCTGGTTCTCGCCATGGCCCTTTTTCTCACATCATCAATAGACTTAATGCCGGACAGTTCTGAAGTGATACCTTTGTTTAGTTATTTTCTTGGCCTCGTCCTTCTAGCTATGTTTCTTCTAACTATAACAGTTTGCTACAGTTTAAGCATCTACTATGCCAATGCAAGTGTAGCTGTTATGCCTTTTTGGATGAGAAAATATCTGCTTCATAAGCTGGCACCGTTTTTTGGTATTACGATCAGAGCTAAGAGAAGTGGCAATAAATCTAATAAAGGTAATGGAGAAGAGTTTTACCTGACCACAGCCATTAATGATGAGCTAGAATGCTGCCATCCTGGGAGACTGTGGAAAGCCGAAAACTCATTAAGGCAACCTGGTTGCCTTTGGAATAACAAAGAGCGTAACCATAAGATCTTGAAAGAATTAAATCTCGATTCAAGGGCTGATAAAAAAGCATTGAAAAAGATAAATAAACATTTAACAAAGATTATTGACAACATGGAACTGGAAGAAGAGAGGGCACACAGGCAAGGCGAATGGCAGGCAGTCTCCAAAGTACTTGACAATGTTTGTTTTTGGTTTTTCATATGTGCTTTTCTGCTTGTTATTACATTTTGTTCAATAAAAGGAGCAACATTGGATTAGAAAACCCGGTAGCTGCAAGAACCAAGGTAAAAATGAACACGTTTCTGCAAAGTGGAATGACCAGAAATTTAATTTCTTACAATTTGATAGATGAGATTAAATTTGGTTGGATCGGTTGGACGCCGCTTCTTATTGATATTGCAATTTTTGCCAACATCTGTCAGTTCAGTTCTCAGCATTTCGAAATATTTTTGTCGAAATCAGATTGCAATAAATACGTTTGGAAGTGATGTTGACCTTTAGTCATAGAATTGGTTATTCAATAAAGAAGACGATAAAAGTACTTAGTATTAATGTATTATTCCCAATCATTTAAAACTTTTCTTATTTTCCATTAAGGAACAAAACTGCAATGTTCTGCCTTTGTTTTACTTGAATTCGAAATGGAACGGAGGCTTGCTTTACCTCGACATCACACATCCTTTCTTTAGGCTTTGACCAGAAAAACTATACACCCGCAAATACCGTTAAGCAGACTTTTTCTTTAAGAAATCTAGAGGGTTCTATTATCTGTAAATGCGTCATCATAACCCTGACTGGTTCACAAACAATCAATCATCATAGCATTTTTACAGATCCTGTTTCCATGTATATATATATATATGTTTATATATAATAAAATAGAATATATACTAGAAATGAGACATGTTCTCCGTTACTCCGAGTTTCGTGCTTACGCACTCATCAGACAGACTATAATGAAGAATATTCCTGTTACCGCGGTATAAATATACAAAAGGTGTGATAAAGTTAGACAAAAGAAATTTTATATAATACAGGTTAATTAGTTAGGTGGAGTTCTATTGTTCATGAGATAAAACTTGTTTTCGTGTCGGCATTTGGAGATTAATTCGGATCGTTTGTTTAGAAGGGTGTTGTTATTTGCTTTGATGATGTATAGTTTTTCTGTTAAGCATAGGTCACACCTTTTTGTAATGTTGTTGTATGGTTTGGCTGAGGTGATGATGGTCCATTGTATGTCATAATCCTTGTTTTTGTCTTTAAGTTCCCAGATGTATTTTGATAGTTCGGTACTGTTGGCGTATTTTCGGTTGCGGAATGAGAGTTTGTGTTGTGTAAATCGTTGTTTGAAGGTTCCTTCTGTTAGGCCAATGTAGTTTTTGCTGACAGTGTCTTCGGTTGTGGTGATATGTGCGTTGTAGATGATGCTGGAAGAGAGGCAGTTGTTGTCTAGTGGGCATTGGTCTTTTTTTCGGCAGTTGCATGTTTTCTCGTTGGTAGTGGTGGGATTGGTGTTGATAATTTTCTTGTTGTGTTTGTTGATGATAGTTTGCATATTATCCATACAGCTGTAGCTGACTTTAACGTTGTTCTTGTTGAAGATCTGATGGAATTTGTGATTCTTGGGGAAGTGTATGTGTATGAGCTTGAGGAAACCCAACGACCAGCCACTATACATCAATACAAAGTCCAACCATCCCCCCAACATCATAAAGCACTTACCTGGAGCAATCAACCGTAGAATAACTGACATATCATGCAACGAAAGTGAATTCAACAAAGCCAAGCCCATCTACGAAAACGCCCTAAAAGCCAGTGGATACCCCGACACCCTAAAATACAACGACCACACATCACCCACACGTAAAAGAAGAAATAGACAGCGCAACATAATCTGGTACAACCCACCATACAGCAAGAATGTACAAACTAACATCGGCAGAACTTTCCTCAAGCTCATACACATACACTTCCCCAAGAATCACAAATTCCATCAGATCTTCAACAAGAACAACGTTAAAGTCAGCTACAGCTGTATGGATAATATGCAAACTATCATCAACAAACACAACAAGAAAATTATCAACACCAATCCCACCACTACCAACGAGAAAACATGCAACTGCCGAAAAAAAGACCAATGCCCACTAGACAACAACTGCCTCTCTTCCAGCATCATCTACAACGCACATATCACCACAACCGAAGACACTGTCAGCAAAAACTACATTGGCCTAACAGAAGGAACCTTCAAACAACGATTTACACAACACAAACTCTCATTCCGCAACCGAAAATACGCCAACAGTACCGAACTATCAAAATACATCTGGGAACTTAAAGACAAAAACAAGGATTATGACATACAATGGACCATCATCACCTCAGCCAAACCATACAACAACATTACAAAAAGGTGTGACCTATGCTTAACAGAAAAACTATACATCATCAAAGCAAATAACAACACCCTTCTAAACAAACGATCCGAATTAATCTCCAAATGCCGACACGAAAACAAGTTTTATCTCATGAACAATAGAACTCCACCTAACTAATTAACCTGTATTATATAAAATTTCTTTTGTCTAACTTTATCACACCTTTTGTATATTTATACCGCGGTAACAGGAATATTCTTCATTATAGTCTGTCTGATGAGTGCGCAAGCACGAAACTTGGAGTAACAGAGAACATGTCTCATTTCTAGTATATATTCTATTTTATTATATCTATTGCTCTGTGCTTTTGCACATCGAGCACTGTCACGTCAGAATAGACAACGCAATCTGGAATATATGTTTATATATATATATATATATGCTGTATTGATTTGTTTTTTTTTCGTATCAGCAAAGTCTTGTCATTGCAACAAAATTCATATCAAATTAAAGGAGCCTTATGTTGATGTGCAAGTTTGATTTTCATGAACCAGCGTTTCGATAAAATTTCCCATGCACAGTTTAAGATTGAGTTGGATTTCTACCATGATTTCCACGCCCTCTAGATATTATCAAATTGTAAAACATGATTATTATAAACAACGATGTTACCATAAAACTGCCCGTGTGCTAAACAACCCTCTTTTGGCAGTATACAATGAAAGGCAAGCTGATTTCCAGCATTTCATGTTATTGTGAACACATTTTACACGTCATTAATACGCTATTTTTCAAACGAGTTTATATAGAAGATATAGGCAGAGTATCTATTACCGTTTGGACATTAACACTGGTAGATACTGGTAAGAAGGAATATTGATACGTACAGATTAGATTTAGTAACTGCAAGTATTTACCATCTATATCCAATAAGAATAATAATATATCAACAATATAGGATCGTATATTCATTTGTAGTTCGTATTAAATAATTAGAATCCAGTTAAGTAATCCAATATGAGTAGATCAGCCTTGAAATGCATCTTCAAATCGGGCTGAGATCAACAGAACTTGTCCTCTAGTGCTTCTCCTGCTTCACTCTTCTGCTCTAAACTCGAATCATCAAGGACCCTGGGAAAGCTTACTTATCTTTCTCGCCTCACAAATAACTTTCATCCAGCGGTTCAGAAGCAGTAGCATTGCTTAGGCCTTGAAGCCGCTGACATGTTGTTCTGTCCTCTTCACGTTCGATTAACCTACGAAAAGATTCTCTCTGGCGGATTGGCGGACTCCCTGAAATAATCCTACAGGGAATTTCGGATTCGCTCCTGGCCTTGTGAAGAAGGCCACGGAGAGCACAGTAAAAGAATGGATTTAGGCAGCTGTTCAACCAAATCAATACTTGCGAGAAGTTTATTGCATTAGACAAAAGAAAATGGTTCTCAACGACGCTGAAGTCCATTATGAAGAAACAGACGTAAATTGGAAGGTTGCAAATGGCAAAACAAGATATCAGCAATGTCATCAATTTAATAAAGCGATTTTGAAGCAATTTTGACGCCCGTTCGCTGTATGGTGTCAAGCCGAACTTCAGTCTGATAACGATGATGAAGTACGCGATCAATATAAAGCTCAAAGGTAAGGCATAATTTACCAGGAAAATGAACGCTGTGTAAGCCTGGCGTTGGTAGTGACTAGGCCAAATTTCTTGACATTGATATAATGGCAACATTTCATTGTACTCATAAGCGTAGAATGACGGTGCGGCGACGGCGGTGGACCATAGCCAAATGGTTAATATTTTTACTCGTAGACCAAACATGGTTGACCTTGGAGTCATTGGGTGTATAATGGCTCGGTATCTCTCCCAGGTGATAGTTGCCAATGTGCAAATACTCGCTGAAACAACCATTACTTGTATAGAAGGCATTGCTTTACAGAATAGCCAACCAAATTTCCACTTTTTGCTCTCGTAGTATATCACGGTAAAAGGTATACAGAATATGGCAACAAACAAATCCGCAACATTCAGATTTATCAAATAATAACCATAATAGTAATTCTTGATACTTCTCAGTTGCTTGTGTTTAAAAATGTAAAGGATAGCCGCTATGTTTCCAAATATTGCCAAGAGAAATATTGCCGAGGATAGTGTTAAGCGAAAAATGTCCAATGGAGAATGACTGCTTGAGGTTTCCGCGTTTTTGAGCGCGCCACTTGTGAAAGTGGGAAGAGCTGTTCTGGTTTGGTTTTCTGTTAACCCGTGGCTGCTATTAAGAATTAATATGACTGCAACTTCACTGTAATTCATCTTTAAATATAGCCTTCTTTGACTGTCACTTTAAACGGTCAGCGACCTAGACATAAAAACAATTCATCTAGTGTAAAAAATATTCTTTTGGCGGTAAAGAAATTGAAAATGGCTTTCAAAAAGAAAAGAATTAAAAAATTGCTTCAGGACCGATTTTACGTCCGTGCGATTAGACACGTTCCTCCGAAGTCTCGGTTCCATATTTTGGCGGGAAAATTCGTTACTATTGCATTCGTCAGCAGGTTGTACAAGAAACTTATTAATTGAAGAGGATGCTGCTTCAAAATGTTGATCTTTCTTAGATAATTTTACCCAAAAGGAATGCGTGCAAGGGGTGAGTTTACAATACAACTCTACGAATTTCAAAGATTTCAAAGGGAAAAGAACTGGTTTAACTATTTTTTTTGTTTTTCAGCCGACTGCTTATTCTAGTATAATTTTGAAATGCTAACATATTTGAAAGATTATTTTAACCTCATTTCAAGTTTGGTATTGAAGTTTACTTTTAAGTGAGAAAGGGAAATAAGAGCATTATTGAACATTTTATGCATTTGGATTCAAGAGACAAATACATTAAATTTTGATTTAATAAATGTACAAACGATTGTGTTATGCCAGGTAATCACCTCTCATATCTAAAGAACAAGTAGTACAATTGCCAATTGAACAACCACGTAGCTTGGATCAAACAAAGAACATTCAATCTTCCATTTCCTGTTTAATTATTTGGAGAAAACAGAATTCCTCTATTTGTTGAAATCAAAACTTGATGTCCAAGACTGGGTAATGGACATCAATGTCTCGCTGCGAATATATTTCCAGTGATTTCAGCTAGATTAAGAATATTTTGGGTCCAGAGGTAATGCTGTTTAGTCCAGAGGGCAAGGGGGAGCATTACCACCCGACGAGGGACTTTACCTGACCAGCTTTTTCTAGACCAGTTTTTGGTGTAGAATTCAAATCTGGATGTTCAAATGCATGAAATGTTCAGAGGATACTTTTCCGAGATTCATGGGGTTTTGTTCAAAAACTGGGATGCAGCCTGTGGAACTTTATCAGATCAACATTTTCTTGACCAGCTTTTCGTGCAAAATTTGAAGCTGAATGTTGATCAGGCGGGAAAAGTTGCTTTTCCGAGATTCAGGGAGTTTCGTCCAAAACTGAGATGCAGCCTGCGAATGAGCTGTCATTGACCAACAAACTTTTTCTAGATCAGTTTTTGGTGTAGAATTCAAAATAAATGTTGATCGGGTGAAAGAGAACGCTTTTCCGAGATACAGGGGTCTTTGTCCAAAACCTGGGATAAAGCTGCCGAATTTCCTTTAAATAGATCAAGTTTATTTCTTATGCATGCTTAGCAAAAAAATAATCTCAAGTGGACATAGACTAGCACTGCTGTCAGCACTGGGGCTCTTGACTTATGGAGAGGGTTGAAATTAGGGTCATCTGGTTTGGAAAAAGGAATTATTGGATCAGTTTGATCTGTGAGTTCTCTAAAACATTCAAACCTGAAATCATAACACATTTACATTTTTTGTCCAGATAAGAATTTCAAGATCATAAGCTATCGTGTCGTTAATTTCTCCTTAATCTGCACTGTCACTTAATTGTTCAGTGCCCATATTAACTTCATCATCTAGATATTCTTTACATCTAACTGATGCCATAACTTTCTGGATATGACTCTTTTATCCGGTCTCCAAAGGCTTGCAATGTGGTTTGAGCGTTGGATGTGCTTCCTAAAACTTAAACTGCCTGGAGGCATGCAGATTGATCTGCAGATTCTTGTCTCTTGCAAATATTCTTCGAAAAAGCTTCCATCTTACATCACCACCCGATTAACATTTATATAAAGTCCCTCGTCGGGGGGTAATGCTCCCCCTTGACCCTCTCGAATCGTTTTAATATACTTTGGCTAATCTCAATGGAAAGGAAATAAAACGTGAGCAGTCGTTGGAAAATTGTTAAGAACCTAAATCGAGAAAAATGCCATTTTCGTTGAATATAAAAATAAGTTACGGTAAAAATATATAAATTTATAAACAGTGTTAAATAATTCCAATCATTTTTACAATCATAAACAAAAGCTTAATGTTTTAAATTGTCCTCTTTCCTGTTGCTGCGTTTCATTGTAAAAGCTTTCAAATATTATAAAGATATTGTGGCTACATTATTGTAATGAATGAAATTTACGAATTGGAATCAACTGTAAGATTTTCTGGATGCGTGTAAGGGTGAGCCTTCTGTAAGAAAAACAGCAAATAAACTTGATTTTATGATTAAGGTTGAACTGACTAATTTGTTAAGGCAATGTGCAAATTGACAAGCCAAATGTATGAAATTCATGCCTTGAGGTTCTGTCATTGGTTGCTAAACTCGTCTTTCGATCATGTTCAATGCGTTATGTTAAATGTAGTGTTTCACAGCTTGCGCAAGTGTATGTCTTACCAAAATAATTCTCTGTATCGTAAGGTTTATCGTTAGGCCTGTCAATATTAACAAAGCTGTAAACATTGATTCATAACCGCCTCAATATGTTTGAAGAAGCAAAAAGGAAAGGCAGCCATGCTTCAAGAAATATACAAATTTATAAAAGATTAGGAAGGGCACTCAGCATTGCGCACAATACAGGGCCAATCCCAACTCTAGTCTATCGGCCCTTTATCAAACAATTCATTAATGCTGAAAGGAAAATTATTTAAGTGATATAGGGAACTTCAACAAGAGATTTATGTTACGTTCATAGGAATTCAAATATTGCCGATTTGATATTAAATTGCTGCATCTGCATTTTTAAGTAACTACAGTGCAACAAATGTATGTCAATACCTCAATTGAAACTCAATAGTGGAAATCTGACTTTTATAAGGAGAATCCTTTCTCTGTGCATCAGTACCAATACCAGCAACAACAGATCATGTGGCATGAAGCCTCAGCTTATCATATATGTGACCCAGCAAGTGTCTGCACTAATACAAAGTATAACTACTTTAAGACCAGAGCTCTAATACTATTAAACCATTAGCTTTATGTGAAAATTCAAAATAATCTCTTTTGTCATATATATCTGAGCTTTGATGCTAATAACATGCTTTACTAGCTCATTTAAAACGCTTATATATGCCTCTTCGCGTGTTTTTAATGCTTGTTGAACGGTCGGCAATGTAAAACATAAGCCTGTTGACCACCTTGGCAGATGGGCAGACCTTTGGTTGCCGAAATCAATTAAACAGCTATGCATAATTTTCACATACGGAAAATCTGTTCTTGATAATCAAATCAAAGAGGCAAAATGACCGCAGAGTGGAAGATTCCACAAAATCAAAGGATGCAGGATTTTCAACTAGGATTTTCCTATCCCTTGAAAATGACTTTTCAGCTTCTTCTCCAAAACCTTCCTAAAAGCGCCTTAGCTTTAGAAACCGTTCCTTGTATCCTCTGAAGGTACTTTGATTATCAACATACCGTAAAAATGACTTTTCAGCTTCTTCTCCAAAACCTTCCTAAAAGCGCCTTAGCTTTAGAAACCGTTCCTTGTATCCTCTGAAGGTACTTTGATTATCAACATACCGTAAATCCTCGAATTGCCCCCCCCCCTCGAAAAAGCCCCCCCCCCACATTGAATAAGCCCCACCCTAGAACTACAAATTGTCAATAAGCGCCCCCCTCGAATAAAACCCCACTGCTACCGTAAATTCTCGAATTTGACCCCTCTATTTGATGATTTTTTCCATCTGAAATTGCCTATGACGTTTTATTGAATTACCACAACAAATTCATACTTTTGGTAGTAATTAATTAAATGCTCATAAAGAAATTCCTAATTAAATAAACGAGGTCTTTAACAATGTTTTCTTAATGTCTACAATAATTTTCTAAGCCCTTCCCTCGTATAAGCCCCCCCCTCGAATAAGCCCCCCCCTCGAATAAGCCCCCCCTCGAATAAGCCCCCATTCAAAAATATCAAAAATAAATAAGCTCCCAGGGGGCTAATTCAAGGATTTACGGTAACGCTAACATCCGAGAATCAGGCTAGGGCATTCCGTTAGAAATCTCCAATTGAGCTGGTTACTTCTTTCTTGTAAAGTAAACAGTTTATACTGTATGGATAACCATATAGATGCACGATTAGATTCCGTACTGTTTATTGTCCACAAAAAGCCTTAATTTTGTTCTCTACAAACTTCATTTGTGCAATAAAAAGATTAAGCTAATACTTTTGTGGTTCTCTTATGCAAATTTCCGAAAATGATGTTTCAACCAACTCCACTTAAGATAAGTTGCATCCTAAAAAACGACAATGGAAGAGCCTCTCATCATATTAAGTGGCTATACCTCTTGTATAAGACATTGTTTTCTAGAAGAAATGTCCGGGAAACCACATCATAATTTCAAAATGCATGTCTAACAAAAATTGACTCAGTGTATGCGCTTTAATAATGCAAGAATCCAATCTACTAACAAATCATAGCTATACATAAAATATAATTTATCAAAGACCCATATATTATGCCCATTGCTTCCTCATAGTAAGTTATAAATGCAGAGCCTGCAGTTATACCCACCGCTACAATTGGATGCCGGTTCAAACAGATCAAACTGTAATGCTCCTGAAATGCTTCGTCTGAGTCTGACTGCGCGCTGTAAATTGTGTAGAATGGGTCTTTGTATGGATTGCAGATGTAAGCTTTTCACGATTAATCCAGCATGGTCCGTTATGTGCAATCAAGTTCATATAAAGAGAGCAAACCTTACTGATAGCAAATAGCTTTCTACCTTAACGATTACTGATAGCAAATAGCTTTCTACAGAGTCTAATAATTTCACACGGTCTGTCACAGCTAAGAGTGAACCTGGCGCCTCAGATGGTGGTCTAAGTTACAAATTTGCCCCTCTAACGTAGCCAACAAATTGTCTTCTTGAAGTCCAAATCTCTGGCTATTCAATGTTCATAAACAAAGCTAATTGTCCGAGTTGCATATAAGGTCAAGTCATCTTTAAACTGTTGTTAATTAAACCAATACAGCACGGGATTTTGTGGTGTTTCTGTCCATCCAGAATTTAAATCCACTGTCTGGTTGTAGCCTTAAATTAAATTCTTAAAGTATTACATAAAGCCTCTCTGAATTGTTTATTGATAAAGAAACAGAAATCTCAACCCAGTTTATAACTTTTGTATTCTAAAAAACAACGTTACCAAATTCTTTATGACTGCTTTGAGATTATTTTGGAACTGCTGTTGTTCTTAATGGGGCATTAGCGATGGCTTATGGAAGGTACAATGCCTATCGAGAGGCATTTCAAATCGTTGAGCAAAAGAATAACGCCCTCATAGAGATTATTGTAACAAAAAACGGTATCCAGAGGTCTCTAATGAGCTGTTTTAAACAGTGCGCTTTCCCTATAGTTGGGGAACAACGACCACTTACATGATACCAGGCTTCGAACATGAGTTAGAACATGATATGACCATGTTAGTCTTACGTGAAAAGCAAATGTATCCGAAGCATTCGTTTTTGTGCCTGGAGGACATTTGATTGTCACTTTTGTGCCTTGAAGCCTTTGATTGACACATATAGGTCTTGATGACTTTGGGATGTCATTTTTTGGCCTTGAAGCCTTGATTGACACATATGGGTCTTGATGACTTTGGGATGTCATTTTTGGGCCTTGAAGACCTTTGATTGTCACGTTTAGGCCTTGAGGACATTTGATATTCACTCTTTGACTTTGAAGACCTTTGGTTGTCACTTTTGGGCCTTGAAGCCTTGATTGACACATATGGGTCTTGATTACTTTGGGATGTCATTTTTGGGCCTTGAAGCTTTTGATTGACACATATGGGATTTGATGACTTTGGGATGTCATTTTTGGGCCTTGAAGACCTTTGATTGTCACGTTTAGGCCTTAAGGACATTTGATAGTCACTTTTTGACTTTGAAGACCTTTGGTTGTCACTTTTGGGCCTTGAAGCCTTGATTGACACATATGGGTCTTGATGATTTTGGGATGTCATTCTTGGACCTTGAAAACCTTTGATTGTCACATTTAGGCACTTTTGATACAAGATGCACAAAATATTATATAAATAGATGTAAACTTTCCTGGGGACGCTCAAATCAAATCACATCAACTTTACCATGTTCATATAAATATCTGATCTAAAATTATCTGGGTAGATAAATGTTTTTAAATATTATCACCGTTTACCCTTCTATTTAATATCTATCTATCTATCTATCTATCTATCTATCTATCTATCTATCTATCTATCTATCTATCTATCTATCTATCTATCTATCTATCTATCTATCTATCTATCTATCTATCTATCTATCTAATCTATCTATCTATCTATCTATCTATCTATCTATCTATCTATCTATCTATCTATCTATCTATCTATCTATCTATCTATCTATCTATCTATCTATCTAATCTATCTATCTATCTATCTATCTATCTATCTATCTATCTATCTATCTATCTATCTATCTATCTATCTATCTATCTATCTATCTATCTATCTATCTATCTATCTATCTATCTATCTATCTATCTATCTATCTATCTATCTATCTATCTATCTATCTATCTATCTATCTATCTATCTATCTATCTATCTATCTATCTATCTGTTTTTTCCTCTTTTAATCAAGTTTAAAATATTTAATTCGTAAAATGTTGTATAGTTTAAAAATGCCGAATTGTGTTTGCTACCTTTTACAGTATCTCAGACACCATAACAAATTTTTCTGGATTGACGGAGGAAAATGAAACTTTATAGAAATAAAGCTTAAATTCAATTCCTATACATTGTTTTTTCTGTTCTTTTATCATTCTTTTACATCTTTCAATAAAGCAACTATCTGATTAAATTATCGAAAAGAAATTATCCCACAAGAATTGTCATAATCAAAACCCATTTGGTGGAGGAAAGACCACACATAGCATTTGAAAAAGCAAAATATCGCTTTACTGGGTTCAAATATTTTATAGAAGACTGTTTGCTATTTTCTTGACAGTCAAATTATGGGAAAACTTTCTATCTGTCAAGTAGTAATGGTATAAACAAACAAATTCAAATATTTCATGTATAGATTTAATGATTTTTTATCATTATATGAAATGACTTGTGTTTCTAAATCAAATCAGTCTGCTCGACATACAGATTATAAGACTATATTTTATATATTGATCATAATGTCAGATAATATTTGATATATTTAAGACAATGTCATTATGATATATTGTATTACACCACAAATGACTGCAGAATGATGTACTGGACTGCAAATGTACATAAATATCATTTGCAATTTCAATGCATAATCACAGTGATGATTATATCTTAAAAGTACTAGCCTCTGTCCACATTTGTCAGACGATGATTTCGGATATTATGAGTAAGAAGGAAAAATATTTCGCATTCTGATAAGAAGAGCTATAAAGATCTGGTCGTATTTCGCAACTTTTAAGAATGACAACAACACAAATGCTTTTAAGAAGAACTTACTAAAAGTCTCAAATCATTACTATTCTTACAGCCTGTGACATTTCAACCTAAAAGCTATATATATTTATAAAGGAATATCTAACATGAAAGGATAATATTGCGCTTGAGTGTTGTATCTCTATCAATTGTAAACTTCAATTTCCTGAGCTGCAAAGAGCAATCTGAATAACAGCCGTTCTAGAGATATCATTTCCAGGAATAAAGACATATTGGGTATAAACTAATAGTTTTCCTCCGGCGTGTTCTATATTGCTGATGATACTGATAACGCTATTCCAGCATCTTCCTAAACATCCAAAATTCTTTCAAGTGCTAAAACTCTTCAAAATTCTGCTATTCAGGCATAAATTGGAGAATGATAAGAAGGTCGTAAAGTTTTATACTTACCGTGAGTAGCTAGCTCATCGTATTTGAGAATTACACAGAACACTTTCTTTAACTGCATATTTGCTCCCTAAGAAACCCATTCCTATCTGTCATATCAATTCTCATACATAAGTTTCTATAGAACCCTGTAAAAATGGTTGGTGACGAGAAGATTCACTGTTAAATTTGATCCGTTGGTGAATACGGATAACAACCAAGGCAAGAAGTATCTTACTTTACAGCCCCGTTAATGCTATTGCCAACCGTTCTATAGCAAATAGATTAGCGGCAACCTTACTTGTTGATTCGATGACGTGATTGACAAAGCTAAATCTCACCAACTTTGGGTAAGCGTCAAGGAGTCGCATGACATTAGGGAGACAGTTATACTCGGAACGCTCAGAAATGTTTATATCAGGCTTTGTAGCTTAATGAATGCTTTTGGTAAGATCAATATTTCTCTGTTTTTAACGAGAAGCCCGTTTGCAACCAGCGTTTAGATTCAACTTCTAAGTTAAACATTCGATTTTGGGGTTTTACTAATGTTGGCTAGGGATTATTTCCAGACACGTTGATGTTGATAGGCGCTGGCGTAATGTTGAAAATAACTGCACAATCACATCAATGTGATTGTCGAAAGCACTCTGAAAATGGAAAAAAATGTAAGCTTTCTTCAACCGTGGTGAAACGCAATTTTGTTGAAGGCAATTCTGCTTCTTTTGAGCTAAGTAACATTTACAAATTCAAGAGCTGTTTTATAATGGTACAACATTCAAAGTTGCAAAAACCACTTTGTAATTCAAAGTTTGCTCCGGTCGTTTTGTAATTAAAGACGATCAATTGTTATCAACCTGCAAAACATCAGCCCTAAGGTATGTGTGGCCCGTAACTATAGCGTCGCAGTGTTTAGACTTTGAAGTGTGTCATAAACATTGTCAAGGTCTGGTGACAATTGACAGTTATCAATCTGCCACTTAACAAGACAACATTCCCCTAAGCAATTTTCCAGCTTTTCAAAACATAGACATCTTTCCAGCAAACTTGTAAGCATTCTTCGCTTAATAAGCGGTAAATCGTATTCAAGATGAAGATACTCCGGTATTTTTTCTTATGAAGATCAAGTAGCTTTCAGACTATTTTAGCGAATGTAATGTAGAAACTGTAAGATACCAACCTTGCTATGTTCCCTTCAGATAGTATTTGCTGTGTTAAGGACATTCATAAAAGTCATCCATGATTAAGGTATTTTAACCCTGCGAAACTTGTAATTTGATGTAGATCTGGCAAAGTTTGAAAGTGTTCTTATCGTCAGGATTTGCTGTTTCTGTTCGTTTGCATTACAAGATGCGTTTGATGCTTTGTAAGTCGATATCCAATTTACGCGGCATGTGCTCAGTGTGGTTGTGCGCCTGCTTTGTTAAATGATCACATGTTATTGTGGTTTGTGACCAAATATGAACTAATTAATAGATCAATCAGTCACAGTAATTTGCAGATTTACCACTGTATTTATGAAAGATAGATACTTCGCCTCACTATACACAACCATTGATTCTCTTTGATAAAGAATTTCTTTGAGGATACTGCTTGCACGATGAATATAATCAATAGAGAACTGTACAATCAAAAGATTAAATCTGTAGTTGATGACATAATTTTTCAAGCCAGGATTATTGGCTTTTTCACTATAGTTTGCTGGTTATTTGTTACAGGCAATCCAGGAACAAGCACTCAGTGTACCCATTTGATCTTGTTTAAAATATAGGTTAAACCTGAGTCTGTTGCCAGCTTTTTCTCACAGTTAATTCCACTTTAGAGTCAGAATATAAATAAAACTTTTGTTTTCTCTATAAAGCTTCTTTCCCATGCTCGAATTTTCTTACCATACAGTCCAGTCGGAATCTGGTATTATGAGAAAAGAGTTCTATGGACAATGAAAATCAAAGGACATATCTCTATGAATATGCTAGACGATTCTTGAGCCCTGTAACTCGAAAGCACCTTATGCAATTTTAGCTACTGTTTGTGCTTTAATCTTTCTTCCCAATTAAGGTTGACTTTTAATTCAAACCCAAGTTCCTTTTTATGCTACATTTTTTACCTATTTAAATTCAAGGATCCTACTGTTATAAAAAATTATTCCCCTAAACAAACTCAACTTTTTCTCGTACTCTATTTAATATTGATTCCATAGATAATACATGTCTATAAAGATATGCAGGGGTGAAGCTAAAGATATGCCAACAAAATGGCATTCTTTGGGTGTGACTGTTGGAAATATTACAGCGTGGCCAAACTGCTTCTAGTGAAATCTTGAGCCATTTGTAAGTAAACTGAGAATTGTTTTAGGCAGAAACAGAGAACATAATATACTATATTTCTTTGACAAATTTTTAATCTAGAAACTTGCTCAAAAGCCAATGTTTACGGGTGCAATTCCCTCTGCACCCTACTCTGGCTACGCATTCGAAGATATGACTCCCGTTAAACGATTGAGACTTCAATTTCCTTGTTTGAAGCTACAAGTCTAGCAAAATTCTTTTCAAACATCTTTGAACATTAAGACTCTTTTAAGCGGTTAAGTAGCTACCTTAATAACGAAAATTAGCAAAATTTATAACATAGATATTTTAATTGTGATTGGATTTAAGATAAAGTGGCTACAAGAGGCTATATGGTTTCTGCTCTGGTTAACATATAGCTACAGGGTGTGACCTAAACGAGTGCTTTTTAGATTCCTTTCGCTGTGAAGCAAAGTTCATTTAGTCAAGCTCTAAGCAACTGTGCCATATAAAGTGCAATCTACAAAGGCTGATGATGGATGTTTTCACTGATATTTTACTTTATTTTTATATTTCTTTCTTAATTGTTTTTATAGCAGAAGAGTTTATTTCTAAATTAGTAACGTTTCTATCTGTAGTAAAAAAGTCTGACACGCTTTTTATATCTACTCAGCAACTGCTATTCACATTAGAGCAAGCAACAAGATGTCAAATCATCATTGAAACATTTAGGTATAGAACACTTTGACAAAAATGTCGAATTTTCAACATGCATTTCCTAAGCTTTTTACAGACTTTTAACAGAAAAATCCTTATGGTAAATTGTGCGTACTTTATACAGAAATGCAGTGCAAACTGTCGTGAAGCGTCACGCTGTACTTATCAATTTTGAATGGTTTATGATAACGTAAGTCTTGCCACCCAAAAATATCTTTCTAGATAATGTTAGCACAGCAAAACAAGATATCTTGCAATCCTATCAGCAGATGACAGGATCACTAAAAAGTATTAATCAACGTTTGATTATCTTTAATAAATAGATTAAACAACTCGGGATATCCGTTTGTTTTAAGATTATAGATTGCTATTTATCTTGGAAATGTAACCAAAACATTTTATATACATTCATGACCAACCAAAACTTAAGCAATCCTTTGATAAATCGTATCACAAACAGCAATCAAACTCAGATATAGGATAATAAACAGCGTTGAAATGGTTCGGGCTAATAAATGATTCTCAGCTTGATTAACGTAAAGCTGCAAATCCTTTTCCAGACTAAGAGATAGCTTGGCCAATGTTGAAATTTCTTCCAGCAGCTATTAACCGTCCTGTGTTTCATGTTCTGAAACTGAGCAAACAGGTCTCAGGTGTAGGTATTTTTTTGATAATACACAAAGAAGCGTGTCTTTCAAAGCTTACTGTTTCATACTTGCAGGAATATTTGCATCATATTTGTATCTTCTGATTGGTAACAATAACTGAATATTTACCATTTTTTCTAGGAGCTACCTAGTTTCAACGTTAATTGATGTTATTCAAAATCTAAATCAAGGGATGAAGTCAAGCATAATTCATGAATTTCATTTTCCATACCAGGTATCAGCTCTTTGCATTCAAAACTCCAATAAAAAGTTTCTACAACAAATGTTTTTATCACGTTGTCGTTAACAGCCCAGGAAATTTTAGGAATGCACACGTCACGGGATGAAAAGATTTCTGTAATTTCACTTATTAGGAATAGCTAGTATTCGTAATTTGGGTTTCTTAGTGTTAATCGAGTTGTCTCTATTGTACGCAAGTTGACGCCAGAACCTGATTGTTTTTACAGTCCTTGAGTAGACAAGAGTTGCATATAACCTTTACTGTTTCAAGGCTGATATCAGTTGAGCTAAGTACATAACCTTGGGATCCCAATTTCTTTATGGAATGAACTCGAATGTGGACACATAATTAATTCACTACTCATTGGTATAATTGGCCTAGACTTTTGGTCATTGCTAGTTTCAATTGTAGATTTTGTTCTTCCAGACATCTGCTGAGGTTGAGGCATTATATTTGGATCCGATTTTCTTTTTAGTACGTATTTTGCTGTGCACTGGAACATCTTTGGAGCTCGTTAAAGAAGCAGAGGCTAAAACGTGAGTAGATAAAATTCAGACTTTACGCTTACGCTTTTTACGGACTTGAAACAAACCATCATAACTTCTATGGTACATTCTGGTTAACGATGGGTGCAAAATTGTTTAAAGAAGATGCATGCATCTATTACGGTAAGTAATCCCCCCCTCCCCTTTCAAATTATTCCCCCCTCCCCTTTCCAAACAGAAACTTGTGCTCAAAATTATTTTTTCTCGATTAGCTGGGAAACTACATGAAGATGTTTGTTCAAATAAGATTACATACATCTTTCGGGCTTATGATTTTCCTTGCTTTGCTGACAATCCTATCTATTTCGTTGTCTGAATTTATAGTTCTCTAGATCAGATAACCAATATTTCGAGTCTCTACCCTAGCTGGAAATTATTAATTTTGAAGGTAAAACTATGTTCTATAGTGACAGGTTGTTTTACTAACGCCTGAATGCAGGGACGAATGGGGTATTAGAAAGGCACAAAATTAAAGAACAGACTGATAACATAAATAGCCTTGAAGTATGTATCTTAAATTTACTTATTTTCTAGTTACAAAACTTTTTAACTGAAACCTGAAAGCTATTACAAGCAAATGCTAACAAAGAATGGGTTTTTTAAGAATTTATGAAAAAAGGAATGTGCATCTTTTTTGCTATAGATATTTTTTGCATGAATTCTTAAAAGGTATAAAAGCACGTTGCCCCTGTGTTAAACCTTTTTACTCTTTCAGTATTCAACGCAGCTATGATAATTTTTCGGAGGAAAATATGCAGAAATTCACTATTCTTTTGAAGAATTTCAGCCGGTTTCTTAAGGCATTTTAGCTGAAATCATCATTCACATAAACGAGTTGATTTGTTATCAACAACTACGCGATAAGGATGAAACCTAGTTTGGTGCAAAATAGCAAAAATTCGTTCTTGAAAACCACATTACTTGTTGTTTATTTACTACAATCACAAGACTTCTGCATTCAAAACCACAAATAAAGATTTATATACACGAGGTTTGGCTTAAGAAAATTAAGAGGAGCCTAGGTTTCATTTAAAAGTCAAAACAGTAAACCTAAAGCATGCAATTAGAAATCTGCGAATGTTGGGTTAGGATACAGATGTGCTAGCAGACGAAACTCATTATCATAAATTTTCCTTTGCATAGATTTCTTTAAAAAGGCTGAAACAAGCTCGCTCTAGCTCTGAATATCGTAAGAGGACAAAATTTGATACTAAATAGGACAAAATTTTTATACAAGTGAATAACTTTGTTTTCGTCGGTAGTTTGCTTCAAATTCGTCGGTGGTTTGCTTCAAGTTTTGCTATTTATTAATGGTTTCTGGCTGATTAAATGTCATTCATATTCGATTCATGAAGCAATGTTCAGTTGAGAACCATCAAAACCGTTGCTTATATGCAGGGACGCAGGAAAAAGGAAGCTCACGCTCTTGCATTTAATAGTAGAAGCAATGTGCTCTTTGCTTGATGTTATTTGGCCATTGAGTCAAAATGCTCTTTGATATAAGTGCTTTGGGCATGGTATTAGTAATTATGAAGGAAATTGTCTTCAAGATGCCCCTAACAGATCGAAATATCAGCTACATAAGAATTTGTAGAATCTGGGAGTCATTTGTCAAATGCCTTTTTCCTGAACCCTGCACCTCTAGCCCATTGGTCGTTTCAGTGACCCTGCGAGTCTCATAAAACCAATTTTAGATGACTTATTGCCAGTATTTTTGTACAAAAAAAACACTTTTAGTCAAAGCGTTGGAAAAATTACAAGAATTTGTAAGAATTATAATGCTACATGCCTTGATATTTGCTAGTATATTCAGAACTACAACACTGGCCGGTAAATGAATGATTGCTGAGATTTATATGGATGAGGGTTTTTTATGTAATTAAGATTATTAATAAAACAGTCTTTCATATATGTATAGCTATCAACTGTTTTAAAGTAACCAACATGCAATGTAAATGGTATTTAGAGTACGTTTGAGTACATTTTTCTTCATTTCATCAGGAGGATCAAATTTATAATGTAATAATAGCTGCATTTGTGTGTTTTTAAAAAGCTGAACACTAATCAATATAGCCGAAACGGCCTCAAAACCGAAGCGTAAGTGTTTTTGAATGTCCAAGGAACAAAAA